TCGGCAGTAAAATCGTGTATATTACACACACAGAATAAGTTCATTTTGATACGCTAAATTTCATATCCCCCAAGTTAATCTGTGAGAACGACAATCAGCTGTGAAACCCTTTTTCTAAATAAAAAACCATATAGACATCTAACGCGTACAAATGAATGTCTATTCAACTTGAAGATTACAAATGAACGATAGTCACTCTCATGTTCAGATTCCCTGGCTTGTAAAAGGCACTTCTTTCTACTTAGATCTTACTTTGGAGTAAAACTTATAATTTACAGCCTCAGTTTATTAAATTGAATTTACAAGAAGTATTCGAAGTAATCGTACCAAGGTCCCATGTGTCGAGAGATTGAATGATAGTATTTTAATTTTTTGTATCAACCTCAGATATCAATAAATTCGTCTAATTCATCTAATCGATAATTTAAATTAACATTACGTAGAAGGTAAAGTCTACCATCCTTAACTACGAGCATACTAAATTCATTCCGGTGCTCTCGAATCACTCCGCGAACAGTAAATACATATAAATTTAATATATTATTTTTCATTATTTTAATGTTTCTTGTTTCGTTTCAGTTTTGTTATTAAAATATTATATCTTACAAATAATGAAAATTATAAGTATACGAGGCAATAAGATTTGTGTACATTACTAAGCAAATAAAAGCTTCAGAAAATTGAAAACAAAGTGTTATTGACTAGACAAAAAAAAAAAAAGAACGAGCGTGTTATACTTTTACGAAATAAGATTTTCAGTTGAATGTAATCGACACGAATTCATTTCGTTATACGATTTTTGTCTTTTCTTGTTTTAAATATTGTTTAAAATTGGCAGTTACTCAAACTGCGTTTATCTGAAAAAATCTGTTATTTATTTCATTTTCACGTTAAACCTTCGAATTCATAGAAAATTGATTTAGTGTCTAGAGCAATGATTATAAAGTATTAGCTGTAATATCAATCCTTCTAATTGTAATTATATTCTTTGCAACAAATACTGTACAAAAACGTACAATCGGCATAGTAACACATGTACAACGGTTACTAATAACGTTTCTCTCTTTTTTATTTTGGAGTAAGTTTTAGTGTGCGTTACCACCATTTGGTATTGAATCCAAAACCAATTTTCTTCTATGATATTCGTTACTTGCACTCTCACTGGCCATAGATTTCCGCCGTAAAGGCGTCGTATTTTCAGAAATTTGACCTATTGAATTTGTACTTTTACGCCGCGTAGGTAAATCGTTCATTTGTTTCTGTCCTGTTTCATTTTGATTAGACACACCGTTAGATATCGAAACCATCGTAGAAGTTTTACTATTAATTGTATTCGTTACGCAAACCGTGGAAACAGTTTTATTCGTACTGCTTTGCATAGATGTAAACGTCCCAGAATTTTTGTTAATAGAATTTTGAATCGCGTTATGATTTACAGTCTTGTTTGACGATGTTGTTATCATACTAGCATGTTTGCTAACATTATTATGGATAGACACCGTGGTTTTTACGTTCTGCGAATTCGGCGAGCCAAGCGGCAAAGAAGTCTTCCGTCTCGCGTTGGAACTTGTTCCATCGCTATTAAAATTTACTTTAGTACATGTACTACTCATTTTATTAGTGTCCGCCGATGCATGACAACCCGAACTGATCCATTTTTCGACTTGAGCTTCGTGAGACTTTTGTAAAACTTTTCGGATATCGCTATTCTCGCCTCCCTCTTTCATGATCTCTTGTAACTTTTGAATCGTTTGATACAAGATTACAGGACTGATCAGACCGAAATCGAACAGACTGCACATATGTAAAACGAAATTACGGTATAAATTTTTCATGAGCAATTCCTTTCCTTTAGTCTCTAGAAACATGTGGCAGGCCAATGGTATTTGACAGTCTCCTACGTAGCCATGTTTCATGACATGTAGATTCCACATTTTCATTAGTTCTTTTTCTCCTTCGTTCACGTCCGTGAAATCGTCGATCATCATCATCGTTTTTGTTTGCAACCACCTTGGATCGTTCTCGCCTTCGGAATCGATATCCATTTCTTTCGGATATATAGGCAAACAGGTAACGGTGTGATGATACAATCTAAAAGAAATTTTCATAATACATATCGTAATATAATAACGAAGAACGATACACGTGGCTCGTATCTATGCGTTGTACCTATTGTGTCCTGTAATATAAGGTCTTTGGCTTTCGAATTCATTCTCGTCGAGTTCGAGAAACTCGGAGAGACTTGGTTTGGTCCTTTTCGGACGACACACTAAGATATTTGTCACGCTTGTGCGTCTCGTTGGACCTGTCCTTGAGAAAGCTGCGCTAGAAGGTTGCGAAATCAGCTCGTGAGGACTACCTGCGTACGAACCATCATAGCATTCGTTTATTGCTACATCTATACGAGCACCTTGTGGAATCGGCTATCAAAATAAATATCATTTATTTTAGAACGTTCGATTATCATAAAAACACATTTAAAAAAAAGAAGTTATAGATCCGATAGTGGAATTGTAAAAAAGAAGAAAGGACAAACTTTTAGATTGTATTTAATTCGACTAAAGGATCTGCAATTTTCTTTAACGCAAGGCACAACCACCAGCATCGTATAAAATAAGCACTTACCACGTACGTGAACGTGAATCGCGAATGACATAATTTTAGATGTTTTAAAAGTGAATAAAGTTTTCCACAGTCTAAAGAGCACCATGGACAATGTAGATCCTCGCAGGCTTCCGTTTGTTGACGACTATTATTATTATACAGAAATTGATAAACTATTTGCTGTGTACCCATCGAGATTTCCGTTGTCTTTTCATTGGGCGTTATCATTCTCGAAGAATTAAGAGGACTAGGTGTTGGCAGTGTACTATTATTATTATGATGATTATGATGATTACTATTATTGGTACTACTATTATTGTTATTTGTGGAAGAACGTTCTAGACCAGCTGAAACAATCAAATACGAAACATTAATATCATCCTCTTCATATTACTAGATTTATAAGAGACAAGAAAAAAGCTCACTGTTTCCAGATCGATTTTCTTTGTTATCTCCATTCGGTACTGGATGTATCGGAGTTGGTCTATCCACCAAACCGTTACTCGGTTCGGTTGTCCAATTAAGTCTAAATTTTAATGTCGGACCTTTACTGAACACTTCGAAAGGGCCGCATTCTTTAATTTCAGGTACAGACTCCCAAGAGCTGTGTTTCTTTGGGCTAGATCGAACATTGGTTTGTACTTCCTGTAAACCTAATTCATAATCGCCATCCGTCAACAAACATCGATTATGTTTATCGTACACTATGAGTTCGGAACCGTACAATTTTATTTCTTCTCCAGTTTTAAGCGAACCAGTGGAGGATTTACGACGCTTTTGAGCTGGTTCTGACAAAGGAAAGAAAAAAAAAGAAAAGAAAATAGAAATAAATTAATGTTACGATAATACATTTCCAATTTACTTTTTAAAGAAAGTCGTTACCAACCATCTAAATCACAGTTGTGTATAAGGCAGCCAGAATTGGACGTACAATAAACTCTAAGTAAAAGCATATAAGTCTTTGCTACGTGACCATTGTTTAAGCTGAACGATTCGTTGGGTATAGATATAGTAGGTGCTTTTGGCGGAGGTTGATTTTCGCAAGGATTAATTGGCACTTCACTTGTACCAACAGAAACCTGAAACGGAAAACAGGTGTGTGTATGTATATATACATTAAAATACAGAGAAAAACTAAATCAATCAATTCTATCTGTGGCTATAAAAGGCACTCTGAGAATCATACTTACCTGCATGATCGGTGAACTCACATCCTTTCGTTTCTTATGACAAATTTTCAATAATAACGTTTCTACTTTGACTGGATCTTGAGGTGCTTCAGCTGCAAATCATTACCGTAATTACTCGATAAAATTATATTAATCGAATTAACTATTGGACGCTGTCCTTTAGTCGAATAAATCAAAATAAAATTTATTCCTTTTGTAAAAGTTTACCTTTTTTATCGTAAAAACCTAAAAAAGTAAGAGTCATGTATCCACGAACACCAGGATTTTCCTCTTGATTGTTTTTCGACATTAATTTTTCCAATATCATGTCAATTTTAAACCCTCGTCGAGATTTATGGCTTCTAGACATACGTTGCTTCATATAAGTTAAATTTCTATATAGAAATATCGGCTAAAAAAAATATGTATCGTTTTTACATAATCAAATACATACTTGTTAACATACATACATTGAAATATATAATGAACACAAGCATAAAAAAGAAAACAAATATGATTTTGTTGTCAACTAAAATATAAAATAAATTTATATACCTACCGTGTTTATTTGTCAAAGACAAACATAAAAAGTTTCAAAGCATACTTCTACAATCTCTATTATGTTGCCGTTAAATTACACAAACGTTCACAAATGCACTACTGTAGTTTACATGTTTTCAATGATAACACGAAAAAATTCGCTTGATCGTTATTATAAAAAAAAGTGGATCAAATACATAGTGGACATATCCATTCATTTTGTTTAACGTGTACTTATCGTTTCGCTTTTACCTACTAAGCATCGTGTATTATTTTTTCTATTATTATCGAATATTAAATTATTCAGTTAACACTTTGAGGACAAACTGAACTATAAATAATAATCAATTTCAAATAAAGTACATGTACAAAGACGAATTACATCTCTTTACTTACTGAAATTTGGTTTCTTGTGCGTAGAAATCGATATATTTGAGTTGGTTCTGAAAAATAATAGAAACACATCATGAAACAAAAATCAAAGGAAATTAAATTTTTGTAAACTAACTAACTTTGAAAATATAACAATATTATATTATATAAGAGAAAAGTGTAGTTTGGTAAAATTCCCCTAGGTGGCAGAGAGGTTGACATCATTCTCAAAAGTGAAAGGGTACACGAAAGAGCATAAAAGCTGACTCCGATATCGCTAAGCACGATCCTTCGAGGTGATTATGAGATATGATGATTAGGTTAATCTCGTTTCGATACGAGAAGCCTGCAACTTATTATTGTTACGCATAAGAGCAGGTTATACCTTTCTGATCTCACGTTATTTTATAAAAAAATATACAATCCATCTTTGAATTGATTCTTCCAGAGTCAGCTTCTATTTAAATTTATTTAAAACACCAAACTACAGCGATCGAAACAAAAAATGTTTTTCTATAAAATTATATACATCGCGCGCAGAATATCACAGCGTAAAAAAAGTGTCATCGTTGAAATAAAAGTTTTCGTGTCAGCATTTCGAAAGTTACACGAAAGCGTGTCATATTTAACTCGCAATTTTCAAAGATAATTAAAAAGTAATTATCTTTCGTACAGTTTCGAGTAGAGTACGTATTTCGTATATTTCTTGTAATCATAACAGAAATCGTACGAGACAGTTCCCAACATATTTAAGATGCATTTCAGTTAAGAAAAGTAATCGCGGTTTCATTGGATAGATTACTTTGATATGAATATTTCCGAGAAAAACTGTAGCAGAACCAGGGAAAAGAATGACAGGTGTCCCATGCGGATTAAAGCGAAGGAGGGAACGGAAAGGAAACCGACGCGCGCTTCGGTGCTCGGTAAGGTTTTCAACAAAATGGGGTTATGTACGGTCGCTCTCTGCCGTTTACAGTAAACATTCGCGAAAGAAGGAAATCGTCGAACGCGTTCGAACTAGAGATCGTAAACGTTGGAATATTCTCCGATCGCGCTGGTAGATGGAAAAAAGAGTAATGGTAAATGCTGATTCTTACTTTCGAAGGCCTGTAGGAATAGCTCATGATCTGCTTGTATTTGATCCATTCGCGGACCCTTTTGCCCGTCTAGTTCTTTCTCCCGCTTTTTCGGCGGCATTTTCGCGCGATTCGTTGTCGAATATTCCACGGAAACTCACTTTCGTCACGTGAAAATACAATGACAACACCCGCCCCGCGCGAAATCTGCGGCGCTTAGCCAGCAACTAAAGCGCACCCTTATATCGTCGCCAGTAACTAAAACCGACTAATTTTTCGTTATCAGCAACGACGTACCTAAGCATTTCGGGGCCCCGTGCCAAATCTGCGGCGCTTAGCCAGTAACTAAACCAAATAATTTTCTTTGAGTATATGGACAAATAAGTCTATATATTCAAAGCTAATTTTTTGTTATCAGCAACGACGTACCTAAGTATTCCGAGGCCCCGAAACCGGCCGCTCATTGCTATAGATCAGGGGTGGCCAACCTGCGACCCGTGAGATTCGTCACACTTTTACAAAATATATTTTTATTTTATAATAGTCAGAGTAGTGAAAATCGATGTATTAAAAAAGTACATTAATTTTGCGTCCGTATATTCATAAATTAACTGTCGAATTATGAGAATAATTCATCAGAGCCCCCTAAAGCTCGGGTACCTCGGGATCGCTAAGCCCGTACTGTAACTACATTACAATCGAATGTAGCTACAGCCCCTGAGGACAAGAAATTAATTTGTTTCTCTTAAGACATACTTTAATTAAAAACCTGAACTTAATAATTAAAAGAAAGTTTATTACCATACACGAACAGTAGCTACAAATTATATGTTGTCTCCCGTTATTTTGACCTATCGCGATCACGTGGTTTTATTTATACCAATTCTCGTCTCATTGGACGAAATATCAGGGAAACAGATTTTCTTAGTATTTTTCGAATAATTTTCCAATGTTGGTATGATTATAACTCTCTAAACGTCTATTAGAGGGTAAACAGGTACGTTACTGTATAATACATTATCTTGTTCCGTGAAAACCTAGTGTAAGACTGAAACTGACCACGCATCGTTTCCTATAACTACAGCACTGGGCGCTCACTTAGCTCCTACTCGCGCATGCGCGCTGCTTTTAGCGTCAGTGAAGTATCTAATACGACCGTAAAATTGGCGCTTTTGGTTGCCACAAAGAAAAATAGAAGCGTAATGAATTAGGATTACGCATCGTGATGACATAAAAGATCTAGAAAGTAATCCGTCAGAGCAATTTTGTAAGATTGGCATTGAGATATACAGGATTGAATCACCATAATAAAGAAAAATTGAAATTGAAACTGACCACACATCGTTTCCTATAACTACGGCACTGGGCGCTCACTCAGCTTTTTTCGAGAGCGCATGCGTGAGCAGGAGCAGAATTGAGCCAAATTGAGCAGAATTTGACATCACAGACGTGTATCTAATAAGAGTTACACGTTTTTAGCTAACCTATTTCTGTTTCATGTAGCAATATTATAAATAAATATTAAACTTGAAATTATTATTATTCTATATACATATATATGTATATAGAATTATTATTATTATATGAAATAAGACAATTTTAATATTTGATGTAATTTAAGTCATAACCTTTGTATAATTTATCGTAAGATGCACCGAAACATACTTCGCACGCTAAGTATCCAATTTGAACAAAAGCGATTTTTTAAGAAAGATCAAGTAAGAGTTAGATTTGCACCTAGCCCGACTGGTACGTAACATGGCAACTGGTATTTATAATTTTATATGAATCGATTTGAAAATGAAAATATACATCCTGTGGTGTTATTTTTTTAATGTAACTTAGAAGTTTAATGTTACTTATGTATGCGTGTTATAAATTCTACAGGTTTATTGCACCTGGGTGGTTTACGTACAGCATTATATAATTATTTATTTGCTCGTGCAAATAATGGAACATTTATCTTAAGAATTGAAGATACGGATCAAAGTAGATGCGTACCTGGAGCAATAGAAAAAATTCAAAACGATCTATTATGGTCTGGAATTATATCTGACGAAGATCCCATAAGAGAAGGACCCTATGGGCCATATATACAGTCAAAACGACTTGAAATATATAAGTATGACAAACTTATGCTTCTTTAAGTAATAATAAATATAGGCATGCCTCTGGTTTATAATAATCTGTACTTAAGATACTTCAGCTATGCTCTATGCTTAGTTCTTACAACGTGATCCATATGTGTAAATTCTCAATGTAATATGAAGATCTTAATGTACTGCCGATTGAATTACAGAGAACAAGTACTTAAACTTTTAAGTAATCAATCTGCATATTACTGTTTCTGCACAGAAAGCAGACTGCAGTTATTGCGAAAAGAAGCTTTGAAGTGTGGACAAGTACCTAAGTATGATAACAGATGTCGACATTTGACTAGCAACAAAGTGAAAGAGCTCCTTGATAAGGGACATCCGCATTGTATCAGATTCAAGGTACAAAAAATAATATCGAATAGTATCGTCGTAATTAATTATAGCTTAGAGAAATTTTTCTTTATATTGTTGTAGTTATCTTCTGATCCTGAATGCGTCAATGATATAATATACGGTAAAGTAGTTCACGATGTCGCGCAATTCGAAGGAGATCCAATTATTATTAAAACGGATGGTTATCCGACCTATCATTTTGCAAATGTCGTCGACGATCATTTCATGAAAATAACCCACGTTTTACGAGGAATCGAATGGCAAATATCTACACCTAAGCATTTAATGATGTATAAGTAAGTCTAACTATTTGAAATTTTGGTCAACGATATTACTGATTTGTTGAAATTATCTATAAGAGATTATAATTATAATTATTTATAGAGCATTTAATTGGACTCCTCCCATTTACGGCCATTTACCTCTAATACTAAATGCCAATGGAACAAAATTATCAAAAAGGCAAAACGACATAAACATCGAGTTTCTTAGAAAAGAAGGAATTTTTCCATTGGCAGTTATAAATTATGTTATACACGCTGGCGGTGGTTTCGATAACAAAGGAGGTGTTGAATATATTAATTCTTATGAAGAATTAATTAAACAAGTAAATTTTCCGTTTTGAGATACCATTGTAATAAATTAATGATTTAGATTAATTATATTACATGCATATTTATCACGTTATATATTTGCATTAGTTTATCGTACTTATTCTTTCAGTTCGATATCTCTAAAATAAAAGTGAGTTCTAATAAACTCATACCCGAGAAATTATTGCAATTTAACAAACTGGAAATTTCTAAACTGGTAGCGAACGAAAAAAATAGAACATTTTTAGTTGAAAGAATTCAAAAACTAGTCATAGAAGCATTTCCAGACAGGTATGTACTTTTGTTTTAGTTACTTGTTACTTGGATTCTTGTGTTACTTTAACATTGTTTCAGGAAAAATGATGGAAGTTTACAATTGGACGAGGATCATATAATGGCAATATTGAAATGGGGACAGGAAAGAATATATAAATTAAGTGACCTGGTATCACCAAATTTATCCTTTTTATGGATTGTGCCAACTGCACCACTAGATGTTACACAATCAGGATGTTTAGGTATAATTTACATATTTATAAAATACTTACGTACGATTAAAATCACTGTTTCTTATTGCAGATGTACTTAAACTGTTTACCACGAAATTAACCGAAACCGATACTCAAACATACAACAAGGTATGGATTAATGATTACCTTAGAGAATTAGCTAACGAACATACTATTCCATTTCCGAAACTAATGCAAGCTTTACGCAGAATTCTTAGTGGTTTGAATGTAAGCTTCAAATTTCAGAGTCGAATTTTAAAAATTTTAAATAAATTTACAAAATTTATATCGTTATACTTTGTTAGGACGGCCCACCTGTTGGCGAAATGATGGAAATTTTAGGAAAAGACACTACGTTATCGAGGATAAACCGTTACATTTCTTGAAGCTAATCTTGTGATCGAATATATTTCTAAGTTTATACGATGTATTTAATATATTTATTAAATATAATATTTTTACTTTGAACTTTATAACAATTATTTATTGTTAGTATTATAGTTAAATTATTTCCGTATATGTAACGGTCACTGAACACGATAATTTAACGATAAATTAACGATAAAATATTGTTTACGCGAATCAGTGTGTTCACTTTGCACTATCACGCGCGGCGACGACCAATTCTCGTTCGCGTTCCGCGTAAGACTGCGTAGGACTGTAGAAAAACTATACGCACGCATCCACTCCCCACCCACTTCTCACGATTGAGGATCAGCTACCTGCGCGGGTAAAATTTTAAAGGACAATAATGACGACCGATCGCGCATAAATACATTCAGTCATTTACCCGTAAATAAATTTATAAGATATTAACTTATAAACTGAACAATCGTTTAACATACAGTTCCTATTACTCCTTTCATTTGTAAATATATAAATTGGTATAAACGATGAAATTTTCGATGGTATTATTTTGATAGAGAATATTTTATTTCTATTTCTCTTCCTTCGCCTAAGTCGCAATACACACATTTTCTGCAGCATTTTCGTGGAAATTACGCTCGCAAAACGTCTCCCGCTAATCGTATATGTAATTTTTAATTTAATTATAGTGAAAAAGACATCTAAATATAGTTCGATAAATTAAATTATTTACTATTCCTATAGGAAATGAAATTACAAATTATATTATCGATTATACGAATTACTACATTACGTGTCGTAAAGGTACAATAATTAGCTTTAATTTTATTGATATAAATTAGTTTCTCTAATATTTAATTAGGCCAGGGGAGGAGAACCTTTTGGGATTGAAAGGAGGCATGTCAATCAATTTTGACAGAAGTGGAAAAGAGATGTAGATTTAAATGTGAATTAATATATTTTTGTTTTTTTACAAAATCATAAACGAGCAAATGAGTTTTTGGTCTACAAAAAGGCCCTAAGTTTCCTATCCCTGACCTAAATCATAAGAATGGAAATACTAATGTAATTATACTTGATGCGTAAGGTGTAGTTTCCCAAGGAACATTTAAGTTTTAACTCGAACTAAAAGTTCATTATCGATTGAAATAAAAATACAAATCAATTATATATACATAATAAATCAATTAATTCCGAAAGAAATTTACTCCTTACTCAAATATAATTTTAAAACTAATACGCTTTGCAATTAAAATTTGTAATCGTACAAAGATCGAGTATGTCGACATATAAATACAGTATTAACTGAAAATATAAATACGAAGTATACAAGTTTTGTTACACTCATGAAATAAAGTACACGAGTTATACAAATATAATAACCGTTATTACAATATTAATACCACGTTAACTTGTAAATAGTAACAATATAATATAGTATATCATTATACAGAGTCATTTATCACAGTTTAAATACTTTGTAAACCTAAAGTAAGAGTGACATAAATGTTCGCTACTTTATTTAGTATTGGTTCATTAAGAATTATGTAAAATTCGTGCATTTGTAAACATAATTACTTTGTTGATTACATAACTACACAAATTAAAAAAGCATTAAGTGAATTAATTATATTTAGAATTATATTTAGACATTGTTTTGCTACTTCTGACATTCGTAACATTCTTCTACTACTTTCTAACTATTTCATTTTAGTAACGTATTAAATTATATGCGTTACAAAAAAGAAAAAAAAACAATACATATATCGCGTAAATGAAATTAATAGGAAACAAATTTTTTACTTTTAATGTTACGAGAGAATGCTTGACTTATTATTTTCAAGTTCAGACAATAATATTAAAAATAGAATCAGATTAAGCAGAGCAATATATTTAGAAAAACAACATACTTGTTTCTAGGTTTCTACATTTATAGTTTACTAGAAAGTGATATTTTCATATTTATTTTACTTACAAATATTTATTATATATATATATTAAATGTATATTAATGCAATTTATTAAAATAATCCACAATAGTTAAATGTTAAACACAAGAGATTATAATATTTAATTGGTTATTTTCATAATAACATTACGTTAATGTGTTAAATAAAATATTATCAATGATTTTTACTTATTTATTATTATTTTCATTGAACTAAATAAATATTGCCACAATATACTTCGAGATATTAATAATTTACCAGATACTTCATGTCTTAATATGAAGTAACTATCTCTGTAGACTGTATTTAATATAATCCTTTTTTTTTATTTATTTCATTCTAATTTCTGTATTTATTATGGTCATAGAAAAAATATAATATACCAATTGTCCCAATTTACATAAGAATATTGTATATCTTGAAACTTTTTATATATGATCTTATCAAACGTTAATAAAAATAATAAATTATCAAAAACATGTGGTAAAATATCTTTCATGATATATGAAAAATAATGTATTTTTAGTAAAAATGTTTGGCATTCTCTGATAATAAAAAGGAATGGAAATAAATAATACTGATAGATTTAACAATTAGGAATCAAAATTCATAATTGAAAATATGTATGTACTTATAATACGAATTCAGATTATTCAGAATATAGATTAAATAAATATAATTTACTTCAGATGAAAATCTCATACGGTAATCACAAAATAAATTATGATTTACTTTTGATAGATGTATATAATTTGGTAAAAGTTTTAAATCACACGTTATTGTAATTTAAATGCAGATTATTACTTAAATATAACATATAATTTTTGGTAGAATCCTAAATAAATATCACATGCAAATTATTTAATATGTTCCACTGTTACTTACAATATTAAATATACAACATGGAATGCATAATACAATTTTGAAGATAGTATATTATAACGTCTGTTAAGTAAATACCATCCATATATTCAAGATTAGAAAATCTAAGGTAGGCACTTTTGTCCTTGTGGTTTGACGTTGGAATGCAAATATGTATATACGAAGGAATCGACTAATTTTTGTGGTATATATTGAGCATTCACTAACATTCAAAATGACAAGATATACCAAACGAAATATGACGTCAATTTGTATAATTGTGAAAAGTTTCAAGGTTACATTACTGACATTTTATTCTAAAATTTATATTACAAAAGGAATGTAATATCGAGAGACAGATTAACTCTTTTGTTTTTTATTCTTCAGAATACCATATCGAAACATGTAAAATACTATTCATCTTCCTTTTGCAAGAAAGAATAACAGAATTATTTAAAGAAATTTTCTTATCGTTTAAATGAAGTAATATCTGTAAAAAAAAGTTTAAAATTTGGAACAATTAATATCTACTCTACAACCTTATTTTTTTACATGTAGAAGTAACTCATAGATACATACTACGATATAAGACTAGTCACAATTATAAATCATTATGTAAGGTGCGTTACTATTTTCAGTTTTTGCTTTCTATCTTAATAATATTTTATTCTCTCTACTTATCGAAAATTAAAATTCAATGTATTTATATTCGTCCCAAATACTATTATATTATATAAATAATAATTAATATTAATAATATTAATGTTAATTAATATTAATATTAATAATTAACAATAATATTATATAAATGTTAATTTATGTAGCTTGTGGTAGTTCTGTACAATAATAAACAGAATATATATACAAAAAACAAGAGAATTTATAAAGCAATATATAAACGATGAAAAATGAGATCAACGATAAGATATACATAGTAATCAAGTATTATAGTCAAGATAGAAAAGATTGGTCTGTTACTTTTACTTTTTGTTTTTTTTAAATTCTGAATCATGTCAGGCACAATCTCCACTTTCGATATGCCAAATTGCCTTTCTGTTTGAGAGACAGATAATTATAAATATATCGTTTCCATTTCTGTCTCTCAAACACAACGAATGAAGCGAATATACGGAATAGCACAATGGTACGGTGACGATAGCTCCACGGTAACTTTAAGAGGCCAATCGATTCGAGTACAGCTGATAATAGGACATTTGATCAGAATTAATGGTATTGTATATTAAATGTATAAAGGAATATACAAATACATAAAGCAGACATACACATGCATGTCAGAACATTCGAGTATGCTTATACATGCAATTGTGTATGTATATATACAACAGACGTATATGTTCACACAAACACTCACAGGGAAACGTAGAAACTCACCTCTCTTAGAATTAAGTCCGATTGTATATAGAGAGATAATTTTGGCCAGAGACAAACCAAATTTAAAAGGAAGTAATATTATCAGAGTTGCTATCTCCATTCAAAAGTATCTCTGGATGCAATACAATTCTGAGAAAAAACAAGTTTCAACGTTTCCTTGACAGCATAAAATGCTGTCACAAGTAAGTACACACAAAAGAGACCTGGATATCAGCGAACCGTACCTGCCTTAGGTTGTGAGAAGCAATCGAACCTTCAATCAAGAAATTTCCTGTTTAATGCACCCTCAACCTTTACCGCTTTACTCTGAAGCGTAGGGGAAAAGATATATAAGCCAAAGGTAGGTACTTATATAAGGAGATGCTAAACCTTGGAACGATTCAGTCATAGGCAGTTACCAATAGGTAGGTCTTTGAAAGATAACGATTGTTTTTCTTGCATGTGCAGGTTCAGAGTTAATAATAATTACAAATTAGTAATTTACACTAAGTACCAAAGATACTCAGGTGCTTGAAAGTCTAGGTAAATTGAAATACCGGTACAATTGTTCAATCATGAGATCGCAGTCCATTTAACTGGGACAAGTTTCATATTAGAGAGCAATTCCTCGCTTCCAAATACCTGGCTATCTTGTGTATTGCTAGCATTCGATTGAATAAAGCTACATTGGCCGCTCAAGGTCACTTACTCAACTGCGAATTACATTAAATGCTACTCCTATTATTTTTGTCCTTTTTCTTTTTTTTTACATCATAACAACTTATCCCTATGTTGGAAGACGGAAGGGGTGTGCCTGTAAGTTTGCGTGAAAAGACAAGAGATCAAGCAACAGGGGTAGTGAAACGGTATGTATAATAAATATTTAACCCCTCGGTGACCAATGAGCGTCCAATTTTCATCCGTCTACAGCAGTAACAGTAATAATGAATAGCTCGACGCTTTCTACTAGTTTTGAAAACTTAGCCAGAAAATATTATAGTAAACAGAGTCGATTTAATTCTTACTCAACGAATATTCTGTTTAAGATAATTTTGTATTTGCGATGTTTAATTTAACCGCGAGTTATATCGAACCCCTTTTTCATGAGGGGGTACTCTACGAAGTACAACATTGATATTACGATACATTTTAAAAATTTGTTTCCTCTTTTTTCTTTCCATTAAATTTGTACGTGATACTTTTATTGCCATCGGCGGTTAATTTACACACGTGTTTACTTTACTATTATTGTTATTGTTATTATTACTATTATTATTATCATCATCATCGTCATCGTCAACTCTCAGTTTATTTTATGCAATAGTTTCACTTTCCTTTAATTGTTTTGTATTAAAAACGTGTCTTTGAGTACTTTTCAATTTTTTTTTTTCTTTAAGAAGATAGATACGATTAAACATTTTAATTAACGAGCATAAAAAAGTTGTAGATCACTTACATATATATAGCGTGTTATCGATAAATGTATACGTATGTAGAGGATCTCATTTCGAATGTGCATATACGCTTCTGTATGTGTATATGTACGTATATTTCGTATAATGTAGATAATAAATACAAGGTGTTCCGTTCGAATGGGTCGTCCTGTATCATTGAAGTATTATTAATGAGCTTTAATAGTTTTATTCGAAAAATTCAATACTCTGTCGAATGCTACCGCAAGAAGTTACATCTTCCATAAGAGGAATAAAGTTGTTTTTCGAATCTCTTTTATGTTTCTGCTAAGAAAGAAATTATTGCTACTTATATTAGCGAGCATATTAAAAATGGTTATTTCTATTGGGACACCCTCAATACGACTCGAATTTTAAGATTGAATAACAGAAAAAATTCTTTTCTGCGTAGCATAAGAGGACATAATATATTAATTTACTTGTAAGTACTCCTTATTACGCTTGTAATATACGTAGTTTACCCTTACAAACACCCTGTAATAAATACTGTCTTTTTTTTTTGTATATCATATTATATATATGTATGCATAGTATTATATGTAATACTGTGTACACATACATATACATATTTATTTTTTGCACGTAAAATTAAAATCGAAGTAAATTAATATAAATCACAAATAGAATAGACTTGTATAAATGATATATGTATATTTGACAGTAATTATTTCATATCTAGATTTACGTGTAACTTTAAAATGTATTAATACTGCTTCGATTAAACTTGAAGTAATATTCAGAGATATTTAGTTTAATATCTATTAAATATTTTTAAAAAAAGTGGCAAATAATGGCTTAATACCTTTCGAACTGATACATAATTTACGTTAACATATCGTTCCTGAAGTCTTTAATTTTTATACAATGCATAAAGCAACAAATGTACTTAAATCATTATTCAATAAGATTTCTGATGATGTCTAAATCTTATTTGTTCGATAAATGCATCATCGATGTCGTGTTCCCTACGTCTAGTAATATTCTAAGATGCGAGTTTGATTAAAATACACTCTAACTAAGTCATGCTTCTAGTTTTAAAAGAAACAAACGTGTCTTCTTCTAATTCCCTTATAATTACTTTACCTCTGACGTAGAGTTAGTTAAATAGTTTGGCACAAGTAATATCAAGTTGCGACGTATATCAGCGTAAAAAATAATCTTTCTATGATACTCCGTCACACTGACTACTATTTTATCGGAATATCTATGTTCTGATTTTTACCGTCGCGTAAAATTACAAATTTTCTTGTTTACTCAACGCATTCTGTAAACGATCTGTATACAGTCGATTACTACTTTCGATAGCAGTAATTTGTAATTTTTTTACGACAGTAACACAAATTTAAATTTATGGATAACCGTTAAGTGTTATAACACGCTAATTATTTTTGTCATTTGAAACGTTTATGTACGCGTTGGTATATCTAATCATTCAGATCACTGATGGCTTGTAATATTCGTTTAACGTGTCCGACTTTAGTAATACCGAGTTCCTTGAGATCTCTACGGGCTAGCGTTAACAATTCCCTACCTCGTATGTCGTGAGAAACAAACTTGTCCGTGTATTCGCCCAGTTGTAGATTTTCCAACCAGGAGCACACTTCTTGAACGCCCCACGTAGTGACTTGATCCCTAGCGGGATGTCCACCGGAATTACCTCCCGAACGCCGGAATTTCAACCAGAATAAACCTTTGTGACGATTCTTTTTATCTCCCTAGCCGAACAAAGTTTCTAATAAATTAAAGCGCTCGGGAAATACATTCGCGGTATATTACCTGCTCATCCGATGGCAAAGTTTGGAAATATACCAACCCAGTGCCCCCTTCGTCGAACGTACACTTCTTCAATTCTTGCTCCATATTGGCCAAAGAGAACGATAACTTGCTTTCTAAATCTTCCCGCAATCTCTGCATCACGAAATTCTGATTATCGTTTGATAATTGATAATCAAACTAAATAAATGAAACGTAAAATGCTTACTAAATTGTGCGCTTTATCTCGAAGCAATTCACACGAATCTTCGTAAAGTTGTCTCGCGCTCGAGACTAGTTCCGTTACGACGGGTCTCAGATTGTCCTGTTAAAAAGAAAGGATACTATTATTGCGAAAGACGAATAAGGTTATGTTATCGATACTTGACAAATCACTACTAACGCCTTGTAATATTTTTCCATCGGGATGCACTTGTTCGAGTGCCTGCGCTGTTCTAGCTGCGACTTGGTATAAATCGGGTTCCAAACTTGGATGCGATATAATGAGTAACTTGACCCATTTAACTAGAGTCGTAACTACTTCGATAAATCCAAGTAAAATGTACATTTCTTCGTCATTTAAGTGCGATGGTTTACTATGTGCGTATAAGTGAGACTTAGACTGCGATTGTAATTGTGCATTGCTTAAAGTAGACGTCGATTGGGATATTGCGTTGAGCGTATTGCGCTGCTTTTCCTCCCACGTTTTTAACGATGTCTCTAGAGCCTAAAACATTAAAAGTAGAAAGTTATTACTTAACAGTGTATATATATATATTTGAGTGATCGGCGTAACATTGCATTATTTCATTTACCCTATTTCTGTAAAGCATCTGCATACGATTTTTGTGTATAATACGTATGATACCAGGTGGTTGAATCCAAGCCTCGCCATCGACTTGTATAGGTACCCCTTCGTCACCCAAAATATTGATTTGAACTGTTTGACACTGTGCGATTCTATGATGCTGTAAATTAATAAGTCGCGAGGCAGCCATTTGAACGGAACCAAATACCGCTACAACTTCTAGTATACGGTCATCGAATGATGGCGCTAAAAATAAATCTCCTTCTTTCGTGCCTCCCCAAAAGTTTGTGCCACCCATGAAGCTACGAAAAAATATAATCTTGCTCGGTTACAAAATTTATGAACGTACTTATTTTATTTCTGAATGGATACCTTGGAATGTTCAATACAACGATTCCTTGTAAAGAAGGTAACGGTATCCGTTGACCATCGCATTCTAACTGAACTCGTTGTTCAAGATTTTTGTACGTCTTCTGTAACCATTGTTTGGACCCCAATACACCGTACCACATATAATTTTTTGCTCGTGATCGACATTTCTCAGGGTGTTCTTCTCTCTTGTGATGAAAATCAAGACTGATTTTTGCATCGATACCAATTCCAAAATAATTGTTCATAACGCAACGTTCGAAATAGCCTTCCCTGCGAAATTCGAGTAAAAATATGTTTTACTGTTACGGCAGTCTAACTCAATGCAGAATAATATGTTTTATTGCTGTACGTATATCGAACTTTCTGATTACACTATTCGAAGATATTATTGGAACGTAATATCAATCATTAGCAATCCAAGCTGTATTACAAAAGGTACGATAATACATACAAGAGATGATAGTTTATTTATATAATACGAACGAGTAAAATGAAGAATGTATAAAGAAGACAAATAGGAAATCAGATAACTGTATTAAACTTACATTAAAGTTTCATCGGGATCCATTAATGGCGATACTGCAGCACAAAGTGCATCTGCATTTGCAAGTAACGCTTGACTAATAAGACCTGTTCCTCCACTGACGTCTATAAAAATATAGAGTAACGTGCTACGTATATAATTTTGACTATACTCTACGAAAAATGAAATATTCCCTTACTTGGCCACATAGATAACTGAACCAATGGATTGATAATTGGTAGTTTTTTAGCTTCCTCGGTTTTGTCTACGGATTTCATTCTTTCATGACGTAGACTTATATTAGAACCGCCGAATCTTGCAGCCGTAGCAGCCAAAGAAACTACTTCCGATGCTTTCAGTAAGCTCCCGCTGCTAATTCGACGAGTTGCTTGAGGAGAGAATCCCGACTCTGGCAGTTCTACGCTCACTGTTCATTTGTAAAGATATATTAATTCATAATTAATAAAACTTGTTTGAAACTATGCAAGGTTCGCTTACATTTCTCCATACTTTCGCCGTTATGCCGTCTTAAGTAAGGGCTCATTTTATACCCTGTGTCTGAATCATGTTGACTTTCGATCGACATCGATGGGCTAGGAGGATTAATTATAACGCTAATCGTAGGTGGAAAATTATTAGGTTTTTCGTTTGTTGGAGTAGTATCCGAAGAAACGGTAAAACAGCATACAGGACTCAACAAATCGGATGTTTTACCATCCGGAGAATCTTTAGATTTAGCAACCTCGATAGTATTTTGTCCAGTTAATCCTAATTTATGCTTGAGTTTATTATTCTATTGAAAATTAATACAAAAATTTCAATTAAATTCGGTAAGCATGGTTTCGATTAAAATCATTAGATAAGCTACATTAAATATACCTCTTTCTCTATAACTATGGAATTTTTTGTTTCCTTCTTAAAAGACCGTCTAGCGATATCGTTGCCTTCTACAAATTGAGCTAAACTGCAATATTTTTGTGGTTTCTCGACGTGCTCGGATTCCAAGCATTCTCTTACTGAGTCGTATTTTTCTCCGATCATCGTGCTAATCAAATCTTGTCCGAGAGAGCTTAAATCGTCGATTAAACTTTCAGAATTTTGCACTTCGCTGGTAAACATGTCCGAATTGTCAGGAGAATCAATATGCCCGATTTCAGAACTGTCAGATCTCTTTGTAGAATCAAATATATCGCTACCTATACGAGCTGAAACGAATAGGACAAGTTATCTATAAAATACATAAAATGTAATTTATACCTATTTACGTGAAAATGATCATTTTAAAAATAATATTTAATTACTAAAACAAATTTACTTTATCTATATAATTATACAAGTCTGTGCTGTAATTATATAAAATTTTTATTTATATACTTACCAATTTCACTTTCGCTATTTCGTACAACGTAACTCTTAAAGTCCAAAGTATCAGAGATCATACTATCCGTACTAACGATACTGTTACTACAGCTACCTCTAGGTGTATCCATTTTACTTTTATCTTCAAACTTTTGTTCGTGTTCCGGGGATATGTGTCTAGATTGAATCGAATCTGAATCAGGAGAAATGACGGTGTCTTGCATAGTAGCATCATCCGAAGGTGAACTTGTATCGAAGTTAGTTCTTGTAACACTTATTTGAAACTCCGAAGAAGCTTCTATGTTATTATATTCGGATATATGTTGATCGTTACAAGCTTGAATTTCAGTTTCTTGCTGACCGTATATAGTCATGGACTGAGTTGCAAGATCTTGAAAGTTAAACGAGCTGAAACGAAATCAATCGATTTATATTTTTTTCCTACGATACACATGTTGCAATATTGTCCGTACGTATTTGTTACGTAATGTGTATCTACCCTTGAGGTGAATTTTCACTATTTCGTCTAGTGTCAGCAAAACCATCTGGAGCAGGTAACGTTAATAATTCTTCTGATTGAGAATCTCTTCTAAGGTCGAGCATTGGACTCAAAGATGCCAGGTTAGGAGTAAGACTAGGGGTATATATAGAATCTTCTGTACTTTTCAGGGATTCTATAAATGGTCCTATGGATAAGTTTTCGACATGGTCCACTTTCAAACCGGGAATATCCATTTGTTGCTTTTTGTCTGAAATGTATTCCTTCATTATAAATGTGTTTAAGAAAAGGAAAATGGTAAAATTAAACTCACTTGATACGGAATTTAGTATTGTAGTATCGTCTAGCGAAGTAGTTGTGTTCGATGATTTAGCAATATGTTTTATATCCACATTAATCTGATCGTCGACAGTCAATTGTGAATATTCTACGAGATGTCGTATAATTCTTTTCAAGCTATTTGCTCTAGAATTCGGTAGAAAGAAAGATATTCGATATTCATACTTTAAACAATGTTTAATTTATCCTTACACAAAGAGTTATATAATATACCTTGTCATTACAATTTCTTTTTCCATGAGACGTCTTTTTCTTTGAACCCTTTTCAAGTTTGTCATATCTTTTTCTGGCTTTTCTAATACTCCTTTCTCACAACTGTCAGGTGAAATAGAAACTTCAGCGTTTAATGTAATATTATCTGCATTTTCTATATGCTCGGTTAAGAAACATTCTTCTTTGCATAACGTTTGTAATAACAAATCAAGCTTTTCCTGAAGTATTTTACACTTTTCCTCCACTTGTTGGTCCTCTGAGTTTATATTTTCCACTATGTGCGTTGCAAAATCTTTAACTGTGTCGCACAGAATTCTGTCGATAAAATTTCATCGAGATAATTTACGTCCGGCGCTTTATTACATTTTATTTTAATATAATTTCGTAGTTCCGATAAAAACGCGATTGTAATTATAAACTTATAAATTGAAAAATGAATCGATACATTAAGATAACTATTATAACATTAAGAAACTATTACATGTTCTGTAAAATACTTACTTAATGCTAGATAAAACTACGTTGTCCTGATCTGACTGTAAAATGTTCGTTATGTGAGTAATAACATTGTTCTCGTATTGATGGACAATATTGGATTTCAAAGTTGTTTCGGATCGACTCAAAGCAGTTTTATGACATGGCAAAGATATGCTACGTTCGAACGTCATAATACTCCATCGATCGAGCATTTTGGTACCTGCTTTCTCATATTTCTCTAACAACTGGGGTAAATGAGTATCGTCGTCGCAAGAAGATCCCCAACCTAATACACGTGCCAGATCGTTTCCCGTTCCCAAAGGTAGAACTCCAACTTGGCACTGCTTCTATTTTAAATTTTCGAGTTATAAATTTACGGATTTGAACAACTAGCGATTGCAGAAATGTACGTTAAATATTCAAATATTTATCTAATACAAAGCATACATCGCAAATAAGCAAAGCATACTTTGAACATCGAGAGAAACAAATTTATTTTTTATGATAAAAGTGCCAAGGATCAATACCAAGGGCATTAACATTACCAATTTTCATTGGACGAAAGTACCGTATACAAAAGATAAATAAAAGACATTTGTATTAAGTAAACAAATTATATATAACTGTAAATAATAAAAGTAATATTTGGAAGTATTCTAAAGAAATTCATGCTTAATTTACACTTACCATCTATAAATAAAGTTAATGAAGCTTCACGCATACAAAGAATCCTAATGCACAAACACCAGTATCATCTGAAATAAAATGATAAAAGAGACACGCCATGCTATTTAAAATATTAAAGCCTTCCATAATCGTTTAGTTAACTCTTCTGTGTTACGATATATACACATAAAACGATACTTTTTTTTTTATTTGAAACGAACAAAAATTTAATTCTTACTAAAAGGCTAAGGAAATTAACTTCGTACCAGTAATTCGATAATAATTAAGGGAAAATATTATTACACTGTAAACAATGATAACATAATGCAGACATGCGAATAATAGAACAAATTTAATATCAAGTTTATTAAACTTTAATTACGTAGTTCACAAGTGCTTTTATAATTATATTCAATGTTCGTGCGTATATCGTTTGTGTTTATATGTGCGCATAAACAAGGTCCGATAGTAATAATCTAGAGAGCATCGCAGGTTTTGTATGGCATAATCATATTTAAGATAAATCTATGTATATAAATTGCATAATAAAAGTTGAAGTTCATGCAATTAGCCAACATTTACAAAATCAAATATCATTCGAATTCTCTACTTTTACTTACATGCATCCCCAAACGATCGATCTCAGAGAGAACCCAACCGACGGATCCATCGCCGCTGCACACCAGAATCCGAAATGGGTCAAAGTGACGGAACAATCTCAACCTGTTTTCGATACGTTACTAGTAAGTTTCGTTCTCGGTATTAAAACTAAAAAGGAGCAATTTATTATAATAAATCTTACCCTGGCCCTGGTCCACCTTTTATAAGATCAAACACCTGTGCTGGATTTAATAATTGTTTAAATCTTCTAAGAAATTTTACGCCTTGATTATCACCAGATTTACTATTTACAAATACTAAAAGTGGACTGCAGCCGGTGGGTCTAATAGCTTCCCAAGCCTCGTCGCTACCTATTTCATATTAAACGAACGTGAAAATTGTATTAAAATTATAAAATTGTATACATATACATATATATATTACCTATACTGTGTAATGCTGTAGGAGGAACTACGCTTAGTTTAGCTGGTCCTAATGGACATATAACACTTATGGCAGGTCTGCATGCTGTGTGTACCGTAGCTCTACACCACAAACATCTCCAATCTTGAAGCCTAAATAAAACGCAAAACGAAATTAAAACAAATTTTAAATACCACCTAATATCCTATACTTTTATACCTGAGCACAGAGCCACAAGTTTTGTCGCACACAGAGCATTTTGAGGATACCGGTAAGTTGCCTTCCATCCACTGGTGTGGCATAGTAATGTTCTAAACAGTAAAAACGAAAGTTATTTAACTAATTAAAAAACCGAGTCCTTTTAAAGGAACTTTTAATAAATATTTTATACTTACCCCATCTTGGTCCTCGATAATGTCCTTACCGATAGATGCCAATGTAGTCCATTTGCAATTGTTTATTGCTTTTATGCTACATCGTTTGTGAACTTTATATTTACATATTTCACAACTTAAACCATGAGAAGTAACACCTGAAACATATATCGATATATTAATTACATTTTAGTTTATATAAAGTAGAGAGAAAACTTGATAAGATCCTTTCGTCTTACTAACTTTAACAAAACAAAGAAATTATAGATACCAAAATATGCATGCATGTACCATAGAGGGCATCCCTGCAAACATTGCAGTAAGTCGGTCTTGCGTGACTTGTCGCATACCATTGATGGTTACCGCTAAGCATTTCTGCTATACCGGTATCCGTTTGAGGATGAGTCTCCGCTACTGTCCTTAACGCGTTCAACCAATCTTCCATTTCTTGTCTACTTTCACCACAGAGAACCAGCGATCGAAATGGAGTTATCACCTAACAATAAACGTTACATTAGACGTTCCAATGGGAACATTTGACGTAAACCAGTTTTGATGTAATAATCTTCTACTATGTATAACAGATACTTTATAATTTTGTATCTGTAATAATTTGCGCGCAAATACCGACAAAATTATTTCATGAAAGGACAGACTAATAAGGCTTTAATTCAACGAAATTTAATTTTTCTACGAAACTTAATATCGGATCGAATATTTAACATGAAATTTGTATATATTTATAAAGATGAAAGTCTTGTAATTCCTCATAGCACTAAATCTGTAAATCATAGTACACTGTCGGCTAATAACTGCGTTATGCGCAAAGAATATTACTCGGGGTTGCAATAATTATATTAAAAATAAACTATCGTATAATAATAAGGAAAATAACCTTGTGTATGTATATATTAACAGTGGAAAAGCGAAACATTACCTTGAATCGAGAACGGGTTCTCTGTTGCTTTGGTGACATTTGAATTGGAATTTCAGACTCATTTGAATTCCTTTATTTTCTACATGTACCGAACAATTACAGACGTTACGTTCGAACAGGAGAAAACGACTTTCGGCCACGCGAAAAGTATCATAGCAAGATGCACCGAGCATCGGAACAACCGAAGCGGCGAATTGTACGCGCGATGCTCTTTTCTTCTTCTTTAAGCCATTGCTGTCCTATTTTCCATGGCGCATGTCATGTCACCTCGTTTATAAATAAATGTCCAAACGAAAACGACGCGCATTGTTGCAAAGTTTTATTCATTATTGCGCGCGATATACCTTTTGTCGATAAACGTTTTATGAAGCTGTCAAAAGTTACCCACAAGAAAAGCAAACGTAAACTTACGTAAACATTACATCCGAGAAGGCGATATATGTATAATCAATTCCCAATAATTCTGATAATTCGAAACTACCATTCATAGAACGGTCGAAATAAAACCAATATTATATTTTGCTTTTTAGGTATTGATTATGTCGTTATTCCAAATTTCAATCAATTGATAATAAAGTAAAACACGAGTAATTTCTTTTTATTCGCAGAGGATCGACGTTAGGCTAATTTGTTTTTCATCGATATTACGAATTTGAGAGATGAAAGGGTACAATAAATTGTATATTTATTTACATTGATCTAAAATATACGTGTATGCATGGATGGACCATTTAAAGCTTTCAGTTACAAGTAAAAAATACATAGAGATCATAAAAGAAAATATACGTTTAGTACGTGTGTAAATATATATCTTTCAATATATAATTATATATATATATATAAAGTAAAATTGTCAGTACTTCGCGGATAAATGTATACATATAAAATGAATTTTTTTTTCAAAATTTTTTTCGCTTTTAGATCTTAAGTGCTTTATGTTAAATGTACAAACAAAATCTACTTATCAAATTTTTTTTGAGATAATTATAAAACATTTAATTTCTGTCGATTTTTATTACATCATATTACACTGTACAATCATATAAACGATATTATTACAAACATTATAGCTGTGTCCATTAAATTATTTTGATATTTGCTTACCCAATTAACACATAAATTACTCCGTTCCTCTTTAAATATGAAAATGATTAGAAATTTTAATACAGTTTGTCTATAAATATTTGTTTTTGTAATAAGAACAATAACTCTGCGCATTGACAACCAGTATAAGGATAGTTTCATTTTACATGCTATAAATTTTACGTTTCATGTAAATTGAATTTTTAACATCTATTATTACAAAAAGACGTTCTATTCGTTTCAATAACTTTTTTTTTCTTTAAGCAAATCTTAACCTTAAATGTACATTATGTTATTTTTAGAAAACCTAATAATGTAAGCAATGTTAACCTTACCGCTAATGACATTCGTTATATGTTCGTATTTAAAACGTTTAACGCGGCAGATCGAAGAGGAAAATGAATACAAAAAGTTTCAAGTCTGTAATTCTATGTAACAAATAAAAAAAAAAAAGAGAGAAAGAGAGAGAATGTACAATGAGTGTATGAATTTATTGTAACATGCTTTAAATTAGATAACTCTTCTGACTTCAAAGAAACGTTTTAAATAGAAAATTTGTCCTATTGTCATACAAACCAAAACCATAGCTTCAAAGAAAGCCCACGTAACTACAAGGAAATTGGTACTTTCGTTGATATCTCTATGAATTCGATCGCGAACCTGAAAATAAAAAGACAATATTAATAAAATTTTTAATGGTTGGATGACTATCCGTGTCAAAACTGTAAATTACCTGCATGTATTCTTGCTCGCTTTTCACTCCCCACAAACTCGTACTTAATTCTTTAATCATATCATCTATTTTACTATGATTAGAGTTATCGCCGTTCTTTCCATCCGAAGTTTGTTCAACTGTTTTCGGATTGTCGCCAATGTCCATACTGAACATGACAACTTTCGGCGTCATACTGCTTTTCTGATTACCAAAGCAATACGTATAAACACCAGGAACATGTGCAGCAAATATATATTTACCGCTACTTTCTTGATCACCCTGATAGATTATCTTTTTATCTGGGCCAATTATTTTTACATCTATATCTAAAAATCCACCCTCCGCTATTTCAAATGTGAGACCTGTAGAAAACATTTCAAAAATTACTAAACATCTAAGCCTATTAAGGCCTATTAAAGCAAGTTTGCGTTGAGAGTTGTGATAAAAGAAATGTCTGAAATATTCAAAGTACTCTAAAGCTCTTAAAGAAACAGCAGAGTAAGAAACTAACCCATTTTCGTGCCCGCTTCTACTCTGTCGAAGAAACATTCTTCGGCGTGTGCATCGACGGTGATTAAATAACAACTTGCGTTTGTAATCGAAACAAGCAGGAATAAACACAAAATAAACCACCTCATTTTATCAAATTACACTGTGAACCAATTAAAAACGACATATGCTGTTTCTTTTTCTGCCACTTCACAGCGGCATGTTGCTACCACAGCGCCACGTAGGCATACCGTCGTGGAATTAATAATATACATAGACGACGTACGTACAACATAATTTTCATTTTAGTAGATGTTTCGCGGATCATATTTATACATAAGCACTAATCAATGTTTATATCGAGTTTAAATAACGACGATAATTCAATTATTAGTAGCACGTTCCAGACACTCTCTGATCGGAGTCACGAAATAACGTGAAGGTTAGGTCGTGGTCCGCCATTTTCTCGGTTAGTCCCGCGAAATTCAAATTGAAAAGCACGGAGTGTTCGCAATGTTTGTACGCTGAAATAATTAATAAATAGAAATACTTCTTACGAACGATTCTTGATAAAAATTGATTGAAAGAGAATATTTAAAAAGAAAATGATTAAGAATTGTAATATAATATAAGACTCTGCTCTGAGACTTTATTTCGCAACACGTTCATTGCAATATTTTACAATCTTCCGAAATGTTCTAAATTTCGACAATTAATATTATAATAACCGAGGCCAAATGGCGCAAAAGCTTCGAGGTTTATGATATTTGTCACTTATAGAATAAACATTTAAATTGCCATGCAAATCCACGACTCCATACAACTTCATAGATACGACGTCCCCTTATCAGCTGAAAAATGGCGGCGACCAATCGGAATCGGGCAACGTTATTTCCCGACTCTGATTAGATGATTCCTTTCCAATATTCGTTATACATTTTCGTATTTTTATATACATAAAATGCTGAATTTCAATTAAAACTACAATTCGAGTGAACAGAGTCACGTACACCTACGCACGCTGCATTTGGTACAAGGACGTATTGGAAAGAGGTATTAATAAATCTTTATACGCGTTATTAGTATCGCATGTACTAGTTAGACATTCTATATTCTACATTCTTTATTAATAACAGAAAATAATAAAAATATATTTAGGTAACAGAAAAAACAGAAGAATTCGCTGAAAAGGGTTTCGATTGGTGGGATGTAGCGTTATCAGCATCGATGAACCAATTGCAAACCTCGCGCCATACGTGTGCGTGTAAACTTGCGACACTTTTTTTTAAACATAATTATAGAAGTATAATACAGCTATGGTAAAAACGGCGCGTCGATACAACGCACCAATGCAAAAGCAGTAATAAATTATCACCGTAAACAAATTTCTGATTAGAATATTTCATATTTGTCTTTTCGAAACATATTTGTTTACATGCGTTGTATGTTTGACTCGATAGCTCTGAAGTCGAGAGCAGCTTCGAATTTATTATTCCATATCGTATTCATACACATATGACACGTACAGGGGACAAACAGTGCGAAGGGCTCCACCTGTAAATAGGACTGATCTAAACGAAAACATGATATGAAGAATAGTAACTTTACATAAGTATCAAATATAGGTAACATAGAGGTCATGCATTATCGGACTTTTATTTGAATTAGGTCAAACAAGATTTAGAGTACGATACATACGGGAATTCGCATCTGCATTCCGAATTATACTATTACTTCGCGCTGTTATCGGATACAGATATATCCGTGGTTCATGATTGTATGTTATCGAAAGATAACGTGAAACTGCTATACATCTTCCGAGACGGTCGAAATGTTACAAAGATTTTGGGTATCTTAATAAGAATTTTCGTAGAACGCTGTTGACAAATAAAAAAAGAAAGAAAACATGAATGGTGTGTGCCGTTGTTACTTAATAATAACACGAAATATTTTCGTGCAGCATCAGAAACAAGACTTTGTCGCTATCTCATCTGTCACATCGTATTTATTACCTGGACACATACGTAGCAAATCTACTTCGTGAGTTCGAATATGTATTCCATTTGTATTTCTTATATATTTCAATAATACACATATTAATTTTGATTTTAGTGTGGTACCGGTGAAGCTAGCGTACGCTTCCTACGAATCGATGAAGGGAACAAAAAATTCATCCAAACATCCTATCATTCTAATGCACGGCTTGTTCGGTTCGAAAAACAATTGGAACTCTTTATCAAAAGCGATACACCAGCAAACAGATCGTAAGGTAGATACACGGACTTCGTACTATATGAGGAATACTTGGAATAACTTTATAGGTGATAACTATAGATGCAAGGAACCACGGTGATTCTCCACATTCTACAGAAATGTCGTACGAACATATGGCAAAGGACGTAGTTCAACTTATGAACGACTTGGAATTTGAAAAATCTATATTAGTAGGACACAGCATGGGAGGCTCTACGATGATGTATGTGGCTTTGTATTATCCGGAACTAGTAGAAAAATTAGTAGTGGTAGATATGTCTCCTGTGAGGACTAGTCCTAAACTTATGGAGATCAAAAAAGTATTTCGTGCTATGCAAACTGTACAACTAAATAATATACCAACTTTAACGAAAGCACGTAAAGTGGCAGAGGAACAACTCGCGAATCACGATGTCAAACCTTTGGCTATACGTCAGGTAAGCTATTACTTTCCTATATTTTTATGAACTATCTGACTATATCACATAAAATTACATTTCAATTGCAGTTTTTAACGATGAATTTAGTGGAAGCCAATAACGGAAAATATAAATGGCGGGTTAATTTACCTGTACTCGAACAGAATTTTGATTCAAATATAGCTAAATTTCCACGTTCGGAAACAAAAGTTTATGAAGGACCAACGTTATTTATAGGTGGTGCTAATAGTGATTATATACAAGTAGAAGATCACAATGAAATTAAGAAATATTTTCCCTCTAGTCAATTTGTGTACATAAGTGATGCAGATCATTGGGTTCACGCGGATAAGCCAACCGAATTCCTGAAGATTGCAGTCAATTTCATTAATCAACCATAACTGTAATTATGGTACCAATGTAAGAAAAACACACAATGTATTTTGTAAACATATATATGTATTTATGTGAAATTTATAACATTACAGGATAAAAGAAGTGGAGAATAGCAAATTAAAATATAATTGTACATTGTGAATAAATTGTGAATTCTGCATCAGGTAAGAACTTATAATGCTTAACATTTCTTTAGTTTCTTATTTGTTATGTTTCCATAAAAAGTACATATTCAACGTTATTTTCAGCTAGGAAAACATTTTATCAAAATTGGAAAATAGTTCCACGTAAGGCCATGCTTTAATATAGAACGACTATTTAGAAACAAAAATTTGAATAAGATTTTTAAATTATCGAAATATGTAATATGCTCGATGAACAATAATTTCAACGCAAAATGTGTTCGTTAAAATATGTAAGTTCGATCGAAAGAATTTAAAGAACTACATTTTATATAAATTTTGTATTTATGTAAAAATTTGAGTTGCAATTTTGTGCAAGAGATAAATAAAATTATAATTTAAAATTAGTTAAATGCGTGCTAATATTATCACAATCATTTTTGCAAAGTGCAAATTCATTGCTAAACTTTTGTTCGTATAATTCAACAAACCGCATACTAAAGTACATCGTGTGTATGTCCACCATTGTATGCATAATCTGCTTTATTGTGCATTACCAATTGATTGTCCACAAAATAAAACGAATCCGAGCGTGTTTCGAATGGATTTGCAATCATTTCAGAAACTGCAAGATCATTTTTAATACCCATATAACAAGACATTAATATTTTAAAGTATGCAAGAATTGAGAATCGTCACTTACCCAAATCGCTAGGCAGAGTAGGAAACTCGTAAATGTGTTCACAGGTATTCTTGCTGTTCGGTATACAAAATCCAAATTGAAAGTCAAAGGTTTTTAACAACCTATCCCGAAAGAAGTGACGTTCGATCATTCGAAAGTTATTCACTGGTTTGGAACCCACGAGAAACTCGACCGTAGCACCGACAGTCTTTAGCTTAAGAAATTGAGGAGTAAATTGATAACGTACGAATCTGCCAGTATTTGCGTCCTCACAACCGGATTCTTCGCATTCCGGTTCTACCTCTTGACTGGTATCGCATTCTACAATATATGCAAGAAATTTGGGTTCTATAATACGCGATATAGAGGAAATTTTGAACGATTGATTAGTAGAACTTATAAAAATAAGAAAGATCTACGTATTCTTTTCATGTCCTATTAACCATTTACACAAATTCTGTTTGTTGTTACTAACCAACGGCTAGTGGTTTAGTTATTTCGAACAATATCGCTCCCGTATCTAAATCTCTGATTTGAAATCTTGTAAAATCAATGTCGTAAATGTTTGCCTCTGGAGAACACAAATATTCTGGAAATAAAATGTACAAATTATTATTATTTTAAATGGAAAATATTCGTAAGAACGTTTATTAATTTTTGATATATTCGAGTAGAAAAACAGTGTCTTACTATCGGTAATCGTAGGTAAGCGTAACACTATTTCAGGGGTTATAGGATTTCCTTCGATATTGCCATTATCGGCGCTTTCCTGATTTGTTGATGGCGGAAATGGAGCAATAGCTTCGTTTGATTTGTTTTCGCTATCAACACTCATAATTTCAGCGTGAATAGACCATAAGAAGACAATTAGCGTACCACTGAAATGTAAATAACGCATATGACAATCCTGACGTGTAACACGTGAGATGATGTTCTTTAAATATTAAGTAATTTTCCACGTACTTCGTGAAATATATTTTATCCGATATTTCCAATCGTGGAAATGCCTACCCATCCGATGTCGTTTTCATCGTGAAACTTTTCAACCATTTCTTTGCACTTGGACAATTATTAATGCGACGCTCAAGGAATGTCAATCATAAAAATACGTATCCCGAAACTATACACGGCTATAGAAAAACAGCTACGTTGTGTATGCCACATTAACGAAATAATCACTAGGAACCGTTTTCGAACTCTCTGGTTAAAGACTGTAATATTTAGATTATCCGACCGAAGGAAGTTTTGTTGTTAATCTTATAATAATTTGTCAAATGTTTACATATTTCGACCCATTCTAAGTCGAATATAGAATAAACGTTTGACCAGAAATGGAGTGGCCAATAAGGTTCCCTCTTAGTCACGTAGTTTTGTTTAAATAAAATGCTTTCAGAAAGTAAATGTACTTCTGGGAATGCTGGAAATATTAGGAATGTAATAAAGGATAATTAATAAAAATTTTACAGAAATAGTGGGAATTATTTTCTTTAGTTACCTTTATGGATGCACCTGTATGAACTCAATTCAACTCGATTATGTACAGATATACTTTAGGAGTACTGTATTTACTGATTGCATTTGATGGAGAAATTAATTGCTTTCTAAAATATATTAGATATCTGAAGTTGACGAGAAACTTTCAAGAACCGTGTCGCATTAATAATTCTTCTATTTATTGTCTATACATTTAGTATTTTATCTCATTTAAAATTATTCAGTGTTCGATAGGCTGTCACGGTCTACATACTAATGAATATTTTCATATATAATTAATCGGCTCGTTTCGTTAAAGAATTTTAATCGTGTCACTAGCAGCGAACACGAGTACTTGATAATTTCTTGAATTTTATATAATTTTATAATTGTTTCGTGTATGTATGTACGAACGCGTGTACACAGTAAACAAACCATCATGTCTAATCAATCACAAAAATCTAACGAACCTTACCGCGAATTAGAACTAAGCGGTTCTGAATTGAACGTTAATTCAGGAAGTACCTCAAGATGTAGCAGAAATTTCGGAAACAATGTTGATTGTTCGATGGAACTTTCTTCCGTAGTAGTAATTCCAGATGGTATATTATTTTTGCGAAACGCCTATATCGTTCGATAGAAAAATTGTTCTCTTTATAATATTACTGACACTTTTTATGTACAGGGTAATCTGCTTAAACTTATCTAAAAAAAAAAGGAATGGGTATTTGTAAGTTATGTAAATATTTTATTATGCATGGAAATATATCGTTGGTATCGATGGGATTGCTTCGATTAATAATTGTTACATATACAAATATTTCTCTGCAAGATACTAATGAAAAACACTCTGCAAAATACTTACATCTTATCTGGGTATGAATTAGGAAAACAAATACTAACAATTAGTTTTACAAATGCATGCAAATAAAAAAATAATTTTAATATATTTAATAATGTAACTGTAATAAAAATTGCAATGTAATTATCAAATTGTCTGCAATATGCAATTTAATGTTTAATATTTAATAATTCTTAAGAGATACTGTTCTGATAGAATGTGAAATTGAATGTGCAAACAATTGGACATGTTATAAACTAATTAAAATTAATTTGTCTTAAATAGTAGTATGTTTTATTGAAATGACCTCTATTAATATTCGTTGACAGATACATTTACGGTAATCCAAGCTATAAATGCGCTAGGATTTGGCAAATTTCAAGTTAAGCTATCCCTGTTTACGGGTCTTTGTTGGATGGTAGACAGTATGGAAATAACGATATTAAGTATTTTAAGTCCATCATTGCATTGCGACTGGGGTATAACTAGATATCAACAAGCTTTAGCAACTACGGTAACCTTCTTGTATACAAAATATTATGTTTCAGACATGCCCTGTAATAATTTTAATGTAATATATTATTATGATTGTTTTAGGTTGTTTTTCTAGGTATGATGCTAAGTTCTACATTCTGGAGTAATTTAAGTGACAGATATGGTAGTAAGCAATCCTTAACTTTGTGCGCTGTATTGTTGCTTTATTATGCATTCTTGAGTGCCTTTGCACCAAATTTCTTGTGGATTTTGCTGCTTAGAGGACTAGTTGGCTTTGCTATTGGTTGCGTACCGCAATCGTAAGTATTTGCTAAGTTCTGTAAATGAAAACAAAACAGTTTAAATAGATTCAAGTAACATTACTCCATTTATATTTCAGAGTCACTTTATACGCAGAATTTCTTCCAGCAAAGCAAAGAGCAAAATGCGTCATTCTATTAGACGTAAGCGTAATAACAAATAAATTTCAATAATGACTATATTTCAATATGTCTTATTTCAATAAAATAATTACTTTCTTGACAGTGTTTTTGGGCACTCGGTGCTTGTTTCGAAGTGGCGATAGCATTGGTAGTAATGCCAAACTTTGGATGGAGATGGCTTCTTATCCTATCGACGATACCGCTTCTTGTATTCGCTATAATTACACCAGTGAGTAATATAAGCGACTAATATTACAAAAATTATGTACATACGCATCATTATGTGTTTCGATAGTGGTTACCAGAGTCTACAATATTTGACATGACTAGTGGAAGAATGGATAGAGCCGTCTCCACATTAGAACGAGTAGCAAGAGAGAATAAGAAACCTTTACCGCCAGGAAGATTAGTCATGGATCGTTTTTATCCAGTAAATCATGGTAAATTAAAGGATGTGCTAAGTAAAGAAATGTGTAGGACGTCTACTTTGCTTTGGCTTGTATGGTAAATATTTCAATTCTAATTACGTTCTTAGGCACTATTTGCTACTAATATTTTATACATAAATAACTAAACATTTAGGATGAGCACAGCATTTTGTTACTATGGTGTAGTACTAATGACGACGGAACTGTTTCACACATCGTCGGAACAGTGTAGCTCCTGGAAAAATAAAAAAGAAGATATTTGCCAATTGGATTGTCGTTTGGAACGTAGCGACTACATCGACCTTCTTTGGACGACGTTAGCCGAGTTTCCGGGAATTTTTTCTACTATTTTTGCAATCGAGAAGATCGGCAGGAGGAAAACTATGGCTTTTCAACTTGTAATGTTCGCCATGCTCATTTTCTTCTTAGGCAGAGCTTGTTTATTGAGCAGAGTAGCATTGACGCTCGCGATCTTTCTAGCCAGAGGCCTGATTGCTGGTGTATTCCAAGCAGCTTACGTGTATACTCCAGAAGTGTACCCTACGCATTTGCGTAGTATCGGAGTTAGTACATGCAGTGCTATGGCTAGAATCGGTGCAATGGTCACACCGTATATAGCTCAAGTATTTCTTCAGTGGTCTATAACTGGAGCAATGGCGATATACGCTATAACAGCATTATGTGCTGCTGCGGCTACTCTTGCTTTGCCCGTTGAAACAAAAAGTCAGCCACTGAACGATTCATCTCAAGAAACGAGATGAACCCGTATCAGATTTTCTTTGCTAACATTGCTGAAATTGTTCAACTAGATATAAAAATATATCTTTAGCGCACAATTGTTGAAACAGCAATTTTTGCGCAACGAAACAGAGCACATTTATATTTATTGATATTCATTTATTTCAGTTTTTTTACATCTGTATAGTTACATGTACACATGATTAACGTTATTTTTAATATTCGATCAATCTTACCTCGTAAACTGATCGGAAGTAGAATATAACTATACATATCACATTATAAGTTATTCGACACATGTTTACTATTTTCTTGTAGTGTATTAAATATAGACTTCAATAGTGGATTTTATAAGTACATAAGAAATGTAGAAAGACTGATATAAAATATTAGTATACAACAAAAGTGCCAAAATGCACAAATGTGCAAGATTAGTATATATACGTAATAAATCATGATTGTTCTTATATGTTCTAATGTTATATAAATAATAAGATGTATGGAACAAAAAACAATAATTTATTGTTATAACACAGACAATGGCAAAAGATATTACCTTGAAGGATTCGCTTGATTTTTGTACGATTGTTCTTTGTAGAATTCTATATTTGTACAATAAAAAAATATTGAGAAATATTAATCCATTTGTTTGGTTTTATCTTGTACTTCAAAATCCAGGAGTAAAAAGATCATATTGTGAACTAAAAAAATTGTAACAAATTAATATATTCATTTAAATTTGACTAGGAATAGGTGACATATTATAGATAACTTTATAATTGACACGTAAATAAATAAAAATTAAGACTGTAACTTTTATAAATAGTGGAAGTATCTTTATAGGTATGAATTCTAATATTTTTAGTTGCACTGTAAAACTATAACAATTAATTTTTATATCTGTTCTATAACATCTGCTCTGAACTATAACATTTTTTAATTTCCGCTATGTTAAAAGGACATAGGCCGAGTCACAATAATTTTCTTTTTCTTCTTTTTTTTTCAATAAATGCAATTTCAAATCCAAAATAGTTACAAATCGTATGGAAAATGATTTCAAAGAGGTTTAATATGAGAGAGTAATTCTTCTTTCAAATATCCTGTAGATTCGTTTGCTTTATCCGAATCATTCTCCCAAGAAAATACTAGGAGAACAGCTGGAAATAATTCCAATTCGAGTAGGGTCTTATTTAAACACTCTTTGTCAAATGTTTTTCCAGCTAGCTTCCTTAAACAGAACGGCCTCTCGTTATTCGCTAAATTTTCACGGACGAATTCAACTACAACCACGTATTCGTCGTGAACAAAAAACGTTCCTTGTAAAATAATATCGTCTGGAAATTTAATACGAATCAACGAGAATTTATATTTCCTAAGTCTCTGTTTCTCATCTTTTTCTCTCATTGCTTTTGTCCTCAGCATTTGATTTCTTTCGACGCATTCGGTTCTGTTAATATCGTTAGAAATGAATGTCAATCAAATTAATTTAACGACATTTTATATTTCATTCATAATAAATATATGTAAAAATTACCGAAGTTGCTGTTCTCTCTGTATTTCCTCTGGAGTTATATTGAAGAAGTTCGGTGGCAATTCGCTTCTCTTGCTTGCCGCCATAGGTAACAACACTTGGAGGTTTCTGTCTAATTCAAGCGGAATAGGTTCTACAGATTTTAATGCCTCTTCTAACATGACAACATCTTCGATACTACAATTTTCTGGATTGTAAACTAAGAAATCTTCCTCTACATCGTTATGCAACAACTTTATCTGTCGAAAACCAGCAGCATTTAAAAACTCTAATGCGCCTTCTATCGGTAACACTTTGTCCTTTAAAATAATAATTATATATTAAATCTTAGAATTACTTTTACGCTTATGATAAAAGAAAGATAACAGAAACCTTTGTTCTCTTTGTACAAATTTTAAATAAATGAAATTTATTATAAAAGTTTCTCGATATTATTAAACAAAAAATTAGTTCTTCTACGCTCGTATTTGTGTTTGAAACATATTTGCCTAAGTTTATATGCTAATTTTTATATCGTTACGGCAAGAAAGTCAGATAAATAAGAGATTTCCAATGAGAATACATTTTTTGTAAATCTATTAAAAGCATAGTATTACCTGGAATATTTTGTTATGCACTCTAATTTTTCTATATTTCTCTGCTTCTGGATTATTTATGATGTTCTCTAGGTACTTTCCAATTGTTTCGATACAATTGTCAACTTTTTTCCTGTCTGTATTGCAATTTCGTATAACTAAACACGCTGTTAATCCTGCTTCATCCCCTTTTAATTGTTCATACAAAAACTCTTTTATTTTTTTCTTCCATTCGTCTTTCGATAATATTTCATTGGATAAATATGGACAACGAAAATATACACCATCAACAGCTAAGATGGAATTATCTTTTACAGGGGTTTTTGTTTCTTCTTCCGATACTCTACTAGTATTCTGTGTTTCCTGTTGTGCTTTCTTTTCCTGTTCTAACTCGCGTTTCACTTGTGCCTTTATGGCTGCGTAAGATCTGCAAACAATTTAGTTTTATACAGTTTTTGTTTAAGTACTATTAAAATAGAAAATGCAGGAAAAGAAATGGGTGTCATATTTATATATAACCTACGTGTTAAATTTAGTTACGTTCTTTTTCTCTTCCAATCTCGCCAATGCAGCTAAACCAGCTACTTTAGCTTCTTGCGTAGGTTCTACTCTTCTAACTGGCTCTATTGATGAAGTGGATACAGTAGAGGTAGTTGATTCTGTTAATCTGCATACAACGGTTTAGGTAAATAAGATAAGAATAATGTCAGCGATCGATAAGTTTCGATAGATTATACAAAAATTTACTTGTGTCCTTTTCCAGCATTCATAAACTTTGCATTCAATTTCTTCTTTTGAAAGAATGCTTTAATTTTTTCTGCCATATTTCTCAATTATTACGATAATACAACGGATTGTGAAAAGTAGATAGGTAGTTATTAATGTTTTCTGATTTCTAAAACAATCTTAGCGTTTTTAATTAGATAGGAAACCTATAAAAAATGAAAAAATTAGTACAATGCGTGCAAATGTAGTTACAATGATTAAATTCTTAACTTTTTTTTAAGTTAATTACTCACGTTAAGTAACAAATTATTCACCCGACGAAGAGTCACGATCTTCTGGTATAGGTTCTATAAAAGAAGAAATTATGTTAGATTGATTACAATTATGAACAGAAAGAAAGATGAGTTTCATCTAATTATTTTGCGTAAATTCTGCAGAATTGAAAGCAATTTTGTGACACACTTCAAGCTTCGGATTAATCACTCCCTACTTACGTATATCTACAATTTATTATCTTTTAATAAGCAGATTGCATTGTCATTCTACGACTAATTTTCGATTAATTTTCTGTATTTTTACTATTGCAAATATATACAAGAGAAACCCTTCGTATATTGTTTCGCGACGCGGATATTCGCGTGCATACGTCGGGATAGAAAAATACAAATTCTCTTACTTGGTTCCATAAATTGTTCGGAAATTCTATCGCCGTAAATATGCCAAGCGATGAAAATCAGAGCCAGGATACTAACGAACGTGAATGAGAAAACTTTTAATAACTGCAACTGAAAATCGTCGAACGAAAACAATGCTAAAAGCTCGTGAAAACGATCGGACGACTTTTGTCCGAGCTCATCGTCGACAAAAATATTGGTTAAATTGAACGTTAATCCAAAAGTCGTGGATACTATGTTCGCTAAGCCATATGTAAACGTATTGATTATCTCCGCCAGGTAGTCTATCCAAGCCCACGAATTTTCATGTGCACTACTCATTACATGTGAAAAACTCTTAATTGGATTAAACTTAAGAGACTTAGGTACACACTTTGCTCACCACTTCGTTACGTCATATTCACACGTCACGTTTCGACACCTCAACCATCCGAATCATTCTTACCTACGAGCATGAATTCCAAAACGTGATGAACACAAATCCGTTACGAAACTCCTAGATGCTTCCAGATACGCTGAAAAAATGTCATTCGGTTTACTCTCTTATCGGACAATTTTGTATAATTTATGAACAGTAGTGCCATTCATTCGGCGACAAAGTTCTCGGCGCGTGCAAACTTTCCGAACCTGTAACTTCTATATTTAGTTTTTTTCTTTTTCAAATTTTACGAAAAAACTGTTTCAAATCGCCCTCAGAATTATCACTTTCAAGGACTTCCGACATTTTCGGGACACCCTTGTATTATTAGGTTTAGTTCTTTATTATTATAAACAGGATTTTGAATAAGATTAGATTCGCTATTCGATAACAGCTCGCGATCATAATAATCATAACCATTCTTCTGGTGCTTTCGTTGGGAACAGTTGGGAACAGTTGTTCATTATTGTTCACTAAGAAATCACTATAGAGTATTTGCATTTGTGACGTATTATAATAAAGAAAACATATAAAATATACATAATGTATGTTGAATATATTATACGATTATTATAATGATATTGTTATTTCATTTTGCATAAGTGCATATACCGTTTGATTATGTTTAGCATGTGTTCATTATGTTAGTTTATATCATAAAAAAATCTGGTTTAACCTAGACATTACATGGATACAAAATAACAATATTCCATGAAATAATTTATCAATTTGAAGATTTATGTAATTACGAGTTACTATTATTTATGTTGTACGTTTTTATTTAGTTCTAGTATATTCAGAATATTTAAGAACGCGACGTTTGCATTAATAATTTATTCGTTATCGAAATATATATACATATAAATTAAGTGGTCATAGAAGTTGAACTGAGTATTTTTTGTTCTAAACGTTCGTAATATATTTGAACAAATATAACGCACGATTGATATCATGTTGGTACGTGCGTGTATGACGGTGATCGTTCCCACAAGCTAATTCCACTCCAATTTAGTTTAAGTATTGGACAGAGTTCAACAATCACCCTTCGCGAATAACGAATTAAATTGTCGGTTAAATTCCATTCGATACCGTTCGAAATTTTATAGAAATGATTAAACGTATAAGGTACGACTGTAACGATATCGTTGTTTCACGTTTCCTTTCCTTCTTTACCATGACTTTTTATTTTATTCGATATACAACGTTTACCGAATATAGAGTAATACTTATTCGCGTATCTTTATAATTGAAAAAAAAAGACATCGATTCGCGACGATTTAAACGAAGAAACTTGCCGCTTTAAAGTTCACCTTTACTTTATTTTAGTTTTACTATTATTGACGAACGGCGTCGGTATATGTAGAGCATTATCGGTGTTACGTTTCGAATATCGATCCAGAATACTTCTGGACATACAATATCAGCGTATAGAGAAGACTATAAGAAGTGACGTTATTCCGCGTGTATGATATACCGTTTATTTTGAAACGTATCAGTAACGTTCGGTTTTGTTTCTCTTGGGTTGAAAATGAATCTGATCAAATACAACGATGAGGTGGATAAATCTCGATAAACCGGCCTTTGTAAACAGATTATAGTTCATAAACGTTCGTCGAGGGTCGACTTACGAATGGTCTGGCAACATAATTCTTCCATTACGAAAGTTCCAGAGACACCGACTGCCAATTGATTGAAACAATCTATGCATTCCAGCTACACGTGATGTAATTGAACGGTTCACAGACCTGCTAACAACCGACACTTTGGAATTCTAAAATGTCCTCGCGCTTTTGCCTTCTTTTTTTTTCTACGCAAGTTTAAAGTTCAAACGTTCTATTTAACGAAAACGTTGTCCAACGCTATCTCATTTTTTTTTTCGATTTTTCGATAGCGATACATTTCAAGACAAAGGGTTAAAATATAATTTATATTATACTGTATACTGTACAGGGTGTCCCAAAAGTCGCGTAGGAGCCGGAAATGGGGCGGGGGGGGGGGGGGGGTAGCTGAGACGATTCTGAACAACAATTTCCTTCGCAAAAATGTCGGATGGGGCTTCATTAAGGAGATATTAACAGAAAACCTCGACCAATCAGAGCGCACGTATACCGTTGGAGCGGCCGTGGTAGCGAAGTCTACGAGCTAAGCGGCCGCGTCCAATGTCCTTCGATGCACGTCGAGTCGCTTGTTCGTGTACAAGCGCGGCCGCCAGCGCGTAGCCTTCGCTACCACGGCCGCTATTATACTCGTCTAAAGTAATCGAAATAATGTTTGTAAATATCTTGTGACGTTAAAGCTACCACAAGGTCAGTCGAACAAGCATAGATTCGAAATCAAGATCGGGTAGAAGAAGAAAAGAAACCAAGTTACTCGAAAACGCATTGAGAATTCGCGAACGAAGCATCGAAATATATGCGCACGTATTAAAGAGGCAAGGTAGACGCGAGATTTATTTGAGGAAGACAGTGCGAGGGAAAGAAGCAAGAAAGAAAACGATAAAGAAGTTGCAAACGCAGCACATGTTTGCATTTTATTAGGCGGCTTGGTAAAAAACCGAGTAGTAACCAAATATAATAGGTTCCAGTTAAACGTGGCAGGAAGGGGGCTGCGCGCCGTTTCTTTTAAAGCGCATGCTTGCGCGTCTTCCCGACAGTTACGTTTCGGCCTGCGAACAAAGCGTTTGGTTGCTCGCCTTCGAGCGTTATTTTCATTCATTTTAGCTACACATTTTTTCTTCTCTACGAATATACATATATAACGGATAAAAACGGCGCTTTGAGAGAACTCATCACTCGACATACGATCTACACAGCAGATTAGGCACACAGCCTTCTATTCTATCGGCTACCGTCGATTTGTAATCCAATATACCTGACAAACTATATAACCCTTTACAATTAAGCGTTTCTCGCTGATACAACGTGTAAAAGTTTGATATCGAGCAGAATGACTATGAAGATTCGCGTTGAATCGCCGAAAGTGAAATACACCCAAGATTATATCGAAGCACGATACGAGTATCAAACGACAAACGTTAAAGAGGACGACGATAGAAACTATACGGTAAGCATGGCAAAAAATTCGCTTTCCACCTCTGTCCATATTATTCTTAAATAATATTACGTTTCCTTTATTATTTTTCAAATGGAACAGACACGTACTCCTGTCCTTTTATATTTACCGCTGTACCTGTACCGAGTAAACCAGTATATGGCGGGTGTTCGATAAATATACAGGGTGTCCCAAAAATATTGTAACACCTTGAAAGGGGTGGTTCGGGAGGTGATTTGAAACAACTTTTTCCTTAGCGAAAATGTTGTCCGTGGCTTCGTTAAGGAGATATTAACGGAAAACCTCGACCAATCAGAACGCGCGTATACCGTTGGAGCGGCCATGGTAGCGAAGGCTGCGAGCACTTCATCGGCATACTCGCGCTCTGATTGGTTAGTGTTTTACGTTAATATCTCCTCAACGAAGCTTCGGACAACATTTTCGCTAAGGAAAAAGTTGTTTCAAATCACCTCCCGAACCACCCCTTTCAAGGTGTTACAACATTTTTGGGACACCCTGTATATTACGATTTAAATGCTTCGACTTGAAATTGCACAGTTCATCATTAAATCAGTGGTGATAATGGTCGTTAAATATTTACCTGGACTACATGGAAATGACGTACAATTGATTGAAATACAGGGTGTCCCAAAAATGTTGTAACACCTTGAAAGGGATGGTTTGGGAGATGATTTGAAACAACTTTTTCCTTAGCGAAAATGTTGTCCAAGGCTTTGTTGAGGAGATATTAACGGAAAACCTCGACCAATCAGAACGCGCGTATACCGTTGGAGCGGCCATGGTAGCGAAGGCTACGCGCTAGCCGGACAACATTTTCGCTAAAGAAAAAGTTGTTTCAAATCACCCCCTGAACCACCCCTTTCAAGGAGCTCCATTTTTGGGACACTCTGTACATCTCTTTTTTTTCGTAATTCTCCTATTAGAGATGCCAATAATTTTGATGGTGTCCATTGGCTCCCCATAGCTAGGGTAACTCGGGATCGCTAAACCCGTACCGTAGCTACATTTGCAATTAAACATGGCTACAGCCCCTGAGTTGAATTTAATTCCTCCGTTTATCGACGAAACGTACTTTCACGTGTGATCATTTTTCATTAGAGAAATTCATTTCTACGAGAACTTTACGAATCAAATATTAATCTATGCACATACCTGTACCACTCGATACTACCTGCTAATACGACGCGAGGTCGCTGAAGAGATTTATTGAAACCATTTTCATAATCTAAGTAATACTATAACAGTACTACATAACGAATATAACTTGAAAAATACCTGCTTCTAGCGGAATTTATGAATTTTCTTACTATTTGAGAAATTTCGCTGTTGCTTTTAAGCATATATGTATACACATAGCATAATATATCACCTGCACAAATGATCGAATTATTATGAAGAATCATGATCGATATTCGATTTGCAAAATAATCGTGATACGACCGTTTATAATTAACCTATCCGTAGATTTGTCTATTTGTAGATTCGAAAAATATGCCAATGCTTAATTCGACGCTATGCTTAAGATTAGAAGAAACGGAGTTTCTTTTTTTTCTTTTTAGGAAAAATTGTATAAGCGTTCAATTTACAGATTTTGTATTTAAAAATTCTTTTCTAGGGAAAGGAACAAATATAATAATAAAAAAAAAAATGAACAGCTGATCGAACGCTATGATTTTAATTTCGGAAATGAATTTTTCAATTTTTGAAAAAAACAGGTCCTTGTATTGTACATCACTGTTTACTAGCAGAAAAATACCTTGGATACAAATATTAACAATTACTACGTGTAATATTATTTCCTTTATGCATTTAAGAGTAACATGTTACAGAATGTAAATGCATGTTTATTTGAATAGGTGTCACCTGTATCAACAAATTTATTAATTAGAACACAGTTGAAGGTTCCAAAGCTTGGATTGATGTTGGTAGGATGGGGTGGAAATAATGGTACCACTATCACCGCAGCGCTGTTAGCAAATAAACTTAAGTTGACATGGGAAACTAAGAATGGTCTTCAAAAAGCAAATTGGTACTTAAAATTTGTTAAGGAAACCTTTGTTATCATTCATTGAACTATCAAATTAACTATCAAATAACTTTTATATGTATTTATACTCATAGTTTTATATACAAGTCTTTCGTTTACAATTTTAGGTACGGTTCTTTAATTCAAGCTTCTACCGTTAAGCTGGGTAGAGGAAGTAAAGAGGATGTATACGTTCCTATGTCTTGGATGCTACCAATGGTAAATCCAGATGATATCATAATCGACGGTTGGGATATTTCCGATATGAATTTATCGGATGCCATGCATCGCGCGAAGGTTTTGGACATTAATTTACAGAAGCAATTGAAACCGCATATGGAACATATGAAACCAAGAAAAAGTATATACTATCCTGACTTTATTGCTGCAAATCAGGTGAACATTGCTATCTTATCTACTATTCGTTAACATGTTCGTTAGCGCGAATAAAATTCGTAAAGAATAAATCATTTTATTTGTATGTTTTCAGGAAGAAAGAGCAAATAATATTATTTCTGGTACAAAACTTCAGCATTTAAATTCAATTAGAAAAGATATTGCAGAATTTAAAAATACAAATAACTTGGATCAAGTGATAATATTATGGACTGCTAATACCGAACGATTTTCCGAGATAATTCCAGGTGTAAACGACACAGCTGAAAATTTATTGAGAGCTATAGAAGAAGACCATTCGGAAGTTAGTCCAAGTACAGTGTTTGCTGTTGCAGCAGCTTTGGAAGGTGTAAGTAATAAAATTTACCATAAATTATTGTAATCAATTCTTTGTAACACAATATGTCACGTATTAATATATTTATACGATCGTACTTTTAGTGTACATATATAAATGGCTCTCCTCAAAATACCTTTGTACCAGGAGCAATAGAATTAGCAGAAAAATATAATACATTTATTGCTGGCGATGACTTTAAATCTGGACAAACGAAATTAAAATCTGTGTTAGTAGACTTTCTAGTCTCGGCTGGTATTAAGCCAGTATCAATTGTTAGTTACAATCACCTTGGGAACAATGACGGATATAATTTATCTGCTCCTCAACAATTCCGTTCGAAAGAGGTAACTTGGTCGTCTAAGAAAACTCTTTGATACCGAGCGAATAATTTACGTACTAATTTGACTAATCGCTCGACGTTACATTTTACTTAGATTTCAAAAAGCAACGTGGTAGACGACATGGTACAATCGAATAAAATTCTTTATCAGCCTGGAGAAAAGCCAGATCACTGTGTTGTTATTAAATATGTTCCATATGTTGGTACGTATACAAAATATATAAAAAAAATGTGCAACAGTTAAAGAGACAGCGCTGCATGTTTTTAATGTAACATACTCATAATCTGTTACTTATGCATACTGAAACTGATATTTGATTTTCTATTAGGTGATAGTAAACGGGCAATGGATGAATATACATCAGAAATATTACTTGGGGGTCACAATACTATCGTGGTACACAATACATGCGAGGATTCTTTGTTGGCTAGCCCGATCATTTTAGATCTGGTTTTGTTAGCAGAAATTTGTTCGCGTATTACATTCAAATTAGCGGACACGGAAGACGAGTTTACTAGATTTCATAATGTGCTTTCTATATTATCGTATCTTTGCAAAGCACCGTTAGTACCGCAAGGAACACCAGTGGTAAATGCATTATTCAGGCAACGGACCGCAATTGAAAATATTTTAAGAGCATGTCTCGCGTTGCCTCCCGAAAACAATATGTTACTCGAGCATAAAGTTATGTTTGGGAAGCAGATATAAGTTCGAGAAAACAGATTCTATTTTTAAGAATAACATTATCGCTGGTTTCGAAAAGAAAATAAACGAGCAGTATTGTCTGAGAATAATATGAAAAACAGCAACAAACATTAACGTTTTACTCCATTATTTTTTTAATATAATTTTTATATGAGAGCATCAATTTACTGTGCACGTTCAATTTCATAGAATATTGCGATATGCAACTATGACATATATCTCCATAAGAGAAAATCTAAAAGTATATTTTTACAGTGAATACTTTTATTTTTGGATATTTTTAATAATAAAAAGTTGCTATTTTTCGATAAGCCCAGAATGTAATTATACACGTAAAATTCGACAGTTTCATCTAAGAATATTTTGTAACTTGCTGTACAGTTCCTTATATTTTTGTTCAATAAAAATCTCTATATTGAAAAATTTGTTATTTCTTTAAGTAACGATATATACAAAACTAATGAATTTTCTATAAACATTCCTATGAAAAACTGTAATATAAATATAGGCATATATATTAGTTACATTATTAATAAAAGGAAAACGATTTTGTTAAAGGATAATAACCCAGAATAGCAAAAAGAGAATATTTCAACACTGGAAAAAAATTCAATTGAAATATTCGCGGTTATCAAATAAAATTATGCGCATGCGTCGGACACACAGAAGACGAACCTATAGAAAAAAAAATGAAATCATATTAACATAATTACAAAATACGTTCGATTCCCTTATTATATATACGCGTTTATATTTAATCATCGAATATTCGATAATTTGTAATAAATTACGTTCTATCTCGCGTACGACATTTTCGATTCCAGAAATACAATCGCGGCCATTACGAATATACGCAACGTCATAACTTCGGTAGAGGAATTTTCGAAGACAACAGTGTAACGTGGCATGAATTCTCGTTTCGGTGCGTAGCACTCGCTTCGGTTCGACTAACGACCGATTCACGAAAGTTACGTGCGTCTCTCGGATTGTAATCTATGACATGGATTGCTGTTACGGAGTGTCGTGTACGAAAATATTCTATGGCTATTGAATACTAGTCATGAATTTTGGAAGTGTAGAATGCCCGTTGCGTAGGTCGAAAATAACATACGCCAAAGGCGGTATTGAATCGCGCCATCTAGATATCGTTAGGAAGAAATTATATTAGTGAGAGTTTGGAAAAACTTTTGAATATTGTTATTACTTTTCCCGATAATGAGTATGATAAGGTAAAAAATTGATGAATTTAAAGAATTGGTAGCACGCACGCCAATCGCATTCCCGTCAAATTCAAATGCAACGGTACGATACACCTTACGATTAAATCCACTTAACCTCAATTTTTCGTATGAAAAATGAATACCTGCGATTACGAGAATATAATTTCGTATCTGTCTTATGAAGAAAATAAAAAAATTCGATCGTTTCTGAGGGAAGAACTGAAAGGCATTTTTCATTTTACGAACAAATACGTGAACTTCGAAAGCCTGAAAATATCAGTAATATTGAAGTAACGACTGCAGTCTGTTACAGTAACGATAATATATAGTAAATAAAGTTACACGAATTGAGTTTTATCAATTATAGATTAATTATCGAACTTGTAATAATGGCATCTCATGCATATAATAGTTGTGCGTAAAATTAACCTAAAAGAGGAATAACAAGTACTGTAAATACAAGATGCACAAGCAGCGTTACAAAATGGATTGATTTACTTTTTAATGAATGCAGAGGTAAATAAAATTGTATTATTGTTATTATTATCTCTCGTAATCTTTTAAAAATGAAATTATAAATTACTTTTTTTATAAGAATATTTGTTTACTTCGTTTTGTTGCATGTCTTGCATCCAACATCTGTAATTCAATGTATACAAAAGTAGCATAACTATAAAATTAATATTTAACATTAATTCTTTTCTCGTTTAGATCGTAAGAGTTAGAATTATTTGCAAGTACGTATGCAGAATACGATGCAAAAAATTTAAGTTATCGGATCAAAGATGCAGCACACTGAAGTTAATAACAGGGATCATAACTATAGCGAAGTGAAAGTAGATAATCTTCAACATAGCGATAGCAATATTCAAAATGTGTTTGATAACGATATTAAAACATGTAAATCAAACAAATCGGCGTTAATATCGAACAAAGAATCGTTCGGTCAGATTAAAGATATAAACGAATTGAAGAAGATAACGCCTCGCGTAAAATTATTGGCTCACGATGCTAATAGCTTGAACGAGTTAACCAAAATTTCTTTGCACAACAAAATATCTGCACAAAGAAGATTATCGCTACTGGAGCAAACTAAACAGGAGCTGAGGAAATACTGTAGGACTTGTGCAGGTTTAAAGCTGCCGTTGGTCGACATTTTTAGCGAGAAAGGTGTTCAAATGAGATTGAGTCAACAAATTAAGCACTTGGAAGAAATAAATCCATATGATAGTTTATCGACTCAGATGTGCATGGACTGTATCTGCGATTTAAAAATGAGTTACAAGTTTTTTATGCAAATTAAGAAAGCAGAGGTTAAATTGAAATCTATTCATATTACTCTGACAGACACGGCGGCGAGAAATCTAGAGGTAAACAAGATACAATCAAACGAAAATGCGGAAAATACAGAGATGCTAATAGACAATTTTGAAGAGTATAGTACAATTAATCCATCTACTAGCAAAGAATGCAATGAACAAATACAAAGAGAAAACGTCGCTTCGACCGTTTCACCGAAAGAAGATGAAAAACCTTCGAAAGAAGTTGAAACGATAAATATCGCCGATGAATCGGAAAATAAAATTGAAGTTGAGATTTTCGAAGATGTGATGGTTGAACATAACAGCGATGATAACGAATCCATAGAAGAGTTTGATCCAGACGATCCACCTTTCCAACCAGATACTTCTGATACCGCGGAATCCGACGATGAAATAGATGTACAAACACCGGTCGCGAGGAAGCGAAATACAACACAGCAGAAAGAAAATATTCTGAATCAGTGTTTACAACCAGTTTTCCTTTGTGATAACAATTCAGTCCTGGATAACGAAAATACAGATTTTAATCAAACGACATACAAATACGATACATCGCTGAATGCATACATTAAAGTAGAAGACACAGACGGTAGTAATTCTAATTATACTACCGAACCGTACAGCATATCTAAATCTGAAACTATATATAACAGCGAAAGTACAAAAGAATCTTCAAAACAGCCAAACATATTAAAACGCAGACTTTTGTTGCAGACAAAGAAAGAATCTACCGAGGAAACGGATGAAACTACTTGTCAGTCTAATGCCTCTGATAAAAATGGAAGTCATAAAGATGTTAAAGTACAAAAGTTAGATTTACATAATCCCTTGAATGTTAATAGCAATCAAGAAGACGGAATCATGTACGTTACCGTTAAAGGTTCTAAACCGAACGAAATATTATTAGTTAAAGTTAAGAAAATGGATAAGCCGTTAGAAAAAAAGGATGAGAAGTCGTTGAATAAAAAAAACTTTGATATTAAGCCCATGGAAAAGATCTTGAAGCGTTACGAAACGTTAGTCACGAAAGAAAAAGATTTATTTCCCGAACGAACGAAAAAGTCTGAAATAAGAGAACAGATTATCGAAGAGCAAATAGAAGAGTACAAGAAAAAGCGGGAAAAGGTGTTGGGCGGGCATGCTAATATTTCACTTCCTGTAAAACTCGAAGAAACTCAAACTCGTTACATTAAGCGTAACGAGAGTCAGGAGACTCAAAGATATTCTATACATATGGAAAACGATTCAGTTGTAAATACGCAACTCGATAAAGACAGCAACGATAGCAATGTAACTATTATCAAGATCGAAGACGACGATTCGAAAGTTCTAGAGACAGTAAAAGAAGAAGATAAGACCACTAATGAAAAAGCATGTGTAAATACCGAGGAATATTTGTCACGTCTAGCAAAACTTAAGTTAAAATGGGAAGAAGCAAAGAGAAAAAAAGAATCTCTTCAGAAGGAACTCGACGAATCGTATACGGAAGGAAATATTGAAAAACTAACGAGAATTTTGGGAGAAAAAGAAAAAAACTTACAGGATTTTCAAGATTATTTAAAACAACGTAAAATTGTGATCACGAGACTAAAGGACGAGGATATCATATCACTCTACGAAGATAGGAATAACGCAGTGTTTAAAAATAATTTACCCGATTTAATAGACGAAAGTCAACCGGTGGATTATATTCCGGAAGAACATTATTTGGAATGCGATTATTGTCCGGAAACATTTGCTTCCAAAGAGGTGCTCGAGGAACATCTGAAGATACACGATTATAAAATTATGCATTTCTGCGAAGACTGTATGGAAGAATTTCCAACGAACAAGGCGAAAAGGAATCACAATGTGGTTTGCATAAAAAAGTTATTATGTAAATACTGCGACATGATACTAGATTCGAAAGGAAAGAAACGTCAGCACGAACAGAAACATTGCGACAGTATGTACGGTCAATTGTGCGATGTGTGCGGTGAAAAATTCAAGCATCAAGGAACATTAGATCAACACATAAAAACGCAGCACATGAGTTGGGAGAAAATATTTCAGTGTCCGAAATGTCCGAAGAAATTTGCTTTCAAACAAAAGCTTAGCTTTCATTTGAAATCTGTACACACAACGTTGAGAGCCTATTTGTGCGAAGATTGCGGAGCGGATTTCAAGAATCCTGCGAGTCTTAGACATCATAGAATACGTAAACATCAACCGGTAGGGAATAAAAGGGAGTGTCCAGTTTGCCATAAGTTAGTACCATTTTATAGCCTTTCGAAGCACATGCATACTCATAAAGCGTATACTATCCAGTGTCCGCACTGCGACAAAATGTTTAAAAATAGTTCAACTTTAAAGCAACATGTCAGAATTCACGAAGATCAACGTCAATATCGATGCGATACCTGTGGCGTTGGTTTCAATAGGCGGGATGGTTTGAGATTACATATGAGAGTGCACGAGAAAACTGACAGTAGAGGATTAAAGGAATGTTCGTGTCAGGTTTGCGGTGAAAAATTTCCAAATCATTCGACGCTTGTTATACACAGAAATCGTGTTCACAAAGACGGTAGACAATACACGTGTCATATATGCAACAGATCTATGATTTCGACTAGGTCGTTAGAGTGGCACATGTCTCACATACACAACGAATCGCTTCCTGGAGTTGTTAAGGAAGATGTGGATGGAACGCCGGAAAAGAAGAGAGTATCCTGCTATCATTGCAATAAGACTTTCAAAACGGAAATGATTCTGAGGACTCATATTAAAAACACTCATATGGAGAAGGATCCTATGAAGTGTTTAGATTGCGAATTAACGTTTACTTCTGAAGTGAGATTAAGACATCATATGATGATAACGCATAATAGATTAGAGGGAACTTTACCGTGTCCGCATTGTCCAAAGAGATTTGTAAATCAGCTTAGGTTAAAAACACACATGATATCTCACTCGGAAGAAAGGCCGTATACGTGCGAGATTTGTGGATTTAATTTAAAGACAAAGATTCAGTTGATCAAACATCACCAAAATAGACATAGCGACGAAAGACCTCTGCAATGTAGATATTGTCCATGGAGGTGTAAACAAGTTAGCGCTCTTGTATGCCACGAAAGAACGCATACAAACGAGCGACCGTACTCTTGTAGCGTGTGTAGACAACGTTTTAAATACTTAGGCGATAAAAATAAGCACGAAAGACGACATGAAAGTTTAGGAGGCTCTGGCTTTAAAAGAATAGTGCCCGGTCGGAATATTAAACCAAAAGTGAAAGAAGATTCTTCCAGTTCCGATCAAGAGCAGGAAATGTTGGCTAAAGCAGAACCTCAGGGCTTAGAAGGCGAGTACGAAGAACAGACGGATCAACAGTACGAGGAAGAGCAGATAGTTAAGTTCGAAGAAGAACAGCAGATAGTAAAGTTCGAAGAACAAGAAATAGCGGAAGAATACGAACAGGTCTATGAACAGGTAATTATAATTTTGTGTTCTATGATAAATATATACCTTATAAATATATATCTTAATTTTGAGATGTTGCTAATATGTTGCTATATTTCTGATTCTGTTAGGAATATGAAGAGACCTCCAGAGAGGCTTCGGATGCTGCAGAAGTCATAATGAATATGGAGGATACTACCGTTTACACGGAAGAAGTGACTGCGGACAATATAGAGTCTGCAGAAATAATAGCGGATGAAATGATGACAAACGAAATACTACAATCAGGACTACAACCAGGTGCTGTGGTTCATTTGCAACAAGAAGATGATTCAGGAAAAATACAAGTGATCCCCGTCATGTTGTCCTTGCCTGATTTATCTGACGCGAATACAGAGGTCAACTTAGCTACAGCATCTATAATGTATAATAATTGAATTTAATATCGCATTCTGTGTGTGCGGTATCCTTTGTAAAAAAAAAAGAAGTGACTTTTAAAGTTTTATTGTGGTAAATTAAATCTTAAAGAAAAACTTTTCTTTTTAATTGGGGAAAATAAGTAGGGACTAAATCACACATTCCTGTAACTAAAATTATGGATATTCTAAAATGTAAATTTCGTCGAGGCATGTGTAGGTTGCAATTACTAAGAATATTAAATATACATATACCCAAAGGTCGTGATAGTTTTTTGCTATTAAACAGAAAATTTTGTAAGATTATTTCGCTATACGAAAATACTTATTAAGATTGTAAAAATGACGACATAACAAATTTATCTTCGTAATGCTTTTCAATACAAAATTTTCGTTTAGTTATAAATGATAAAGATAAATAACTGTATTATGATATAAAGTATTTTGTACAAAACTATAAAGAATGAACATATATTTTACTTGATAATAACTATATAAATTTCATGGTATCAATAAAATTGACATGATTCATAACCATGAGACTATTCATGAAATATGTCGTTCACGATTCATATTCGATTGATTTATTACTTTTACTAATTACGTTCTTTTGCAAGTATTTTTCACTTTTTATTTGATTAAAGCGTGAACAAATAACTAAGTTTTTATCTATTGTAGAAATAATGCATTTTATAGTTATAAATTATACTAAATTAAGAGAAAAATATTTAATACGATTTTGGTATTCTCCGCGTTTCTTTCTTTTGTAATATATGTTCATATAACGTAACCATAAAAAGATATACGAGTATGAAATTCTATAAGTTTCTAATAAGAAATACATTACAGAATTTTATACGTTAAAAACTGGATGCTCAAATGCTATAGTTCAAGCATTATTTACGTATAATTTTTATTAGTAGTATTGTTTTACGATGATATTTCTTTAGATAACTAAAGTAGAAGTGAAGTAGAGATATTCGTGTTAATTATAATTTCAAAAAATATATAAGTACTATCCTTATTATAAAATCATATTGTATTATATGCTTCAGTAATTTTTATATATACTTCATTCAAGAATTTATTAAATAAAATTATTCATAGAATATTCTGTAATTAATTAAATTTTAAACAGGAACATTTCTTATTTATCATGCACTGCGATAAGTTACACACTCTCACATTTTAGTTTTCTTTTTATTACAAAACAATCTAGTATTTTAACTTTTATTTATTTTCTCATATCATTGAATTTTTGTCTGTCAATCACATCTGTATTTTGTGGCAATAAAAGAACTTGGATGTCAGTTAACTTTTCTATTTGGTACTTCATAAAATATTTTTAAGATTTCTACTGTACATATAAATACTCGTTAAATATACATTAAAATTATGCATGATCTATAGATCCCAGGAAAGTACATTTTTTAATGTATATGCAGTAATAAAATCATATATTCACATTATGTATATTCGTATAAAATGTATATGGAAAATACAATTAGGTTTTGTATTTGTATAAATAAAAATAACGTATACATTGTAGAATAATTGTAAATAGATATGATTTTATTTAATACACAGATAAATATTGAAATCGATGTGCTGTACAAGACAAATGTACAAAGATACAAATGTATAGCAATAGTAAAACTGCATTAATTTTAAATATTTTCGTACTTATTATCCTATAACAGTTGTAAAATTAATTTTACTATCTTTAATGTGTTAATTTAGAATACTTCATAATTTCTAATATTCCTACGATACTTTTCACTTTTCTAGATTTTGATAGTATCGTGCCAGAACAAGCCATGCTTTGGGTGACATAAAGCCTTCAGGTGGATTTTCACCTGCTTTTGCTAATCCTGTAAAAGAACATTACAAGTGTCGTGAACATTAAACTTTAATTTCTTTTTTCCAATCAGACAGAAAATTTTTCCTTTCACACAGAGCAATAAATTACCACATTTTATATAAGTACGATAATATTATACTTGTTACAATTTGTGTATACAGAATGAGTTGCCTAAGATTGGAATGATATTATAAAAAGTTTAAGGAAAGATGTTTGATTTAAAGGGGCGTATCTTAACAAAGCTCGCTTCTCTCCAATGTCAAGGTTTTTTAAATTTTAAGTTTAATTATTTTTAAATGAATCTATATTTTTCTATACCCAGGTCAAAATTATAACGTCGCGATAAATTTAACGAGCGAGCGAGTTAGTTTTATTTATGTGTGCGTTACTTTTCATTTGCATTTGCTTAGATACCTCGTTTCATAATTGTCTCATAATCAATAATCGATAGTCTGTTGGGGCCCACTGACCCCCCAATAGCTCGGGTACCTCGGGATTGCTAAGCCCGTACTGTAGCTACATTTACAATAAAACATAGCTACAGCCCCTGAGGACAAATACAGAAAAGGATTTAATGAAAATATTGTTAAAGTTGTATTTGAGAAACAGAACATGTGGTTTTTAATAAAACACAAAGAGCGCATGATACGACACTCGCTCTGTTTGAACGAAATACAAATGCATACGTAAGTACATATGTGTAATACGTACCGCGCATTTTTGTCCCCGATATGAACTCGAAGTCTTCTTTTCGTTTTTGGTCAAAGAACGACATTCTTTTATGTTTCTTATCATATGCCGCAACTTTGAATGGTATAATTTCTAGACTTTGCAATCCTCGAGCTATCGAAAGAATTCGAGCACCATGAGTAGGATCGTAAAGATTTCCATCGGGAACTGCAGTTTTGTCAGGGTGTGGTATACCAGCTGGGTCTCTTCCAACAATGTAAAAGTTAGCACCTGCGTTCATTCTGGCTTTTGCATGCCATTGTACCTAATGTTAAATAAACGGAATTGAATAAAAGAATTAATGGGCTTATAAATGTGTATATAATTACGAATGAAAGTTCACCTCGACTGGTCCAGCATACATCATTGGAGATGGAAAAATTGCTAATAACGTAGAATTAGTATCTAGAACACCTTCGTTAATTATAGCTTCGTGTTGAAGAATTCTTGTACGTAACGGTACATCGTCATCTTTTGTCCAGCCGCCCAAAGGATGTAAGAGTAATATAGGATTTTTAAATCCTCTTTCTTCTAATAAACACTTTCTCGTGTCCTACAGGTAAAAAAAAAAAAAAAATAAAACAAATCTATCCATATTATGTGGGTACACTTTGAATAACAAATCCATAAATCAACATACTTGCATTAATAGTGCATGACCGTTATGTATAGGATTTCTAAGTTGAAATGCAAATACAGCATCAGCTTTCATTTTTTTACATTTTGTTCGAATCTCATTCGGTGTAAGTCTATATTTATCCAGGCCATCGTGCCATTTAATTCTTTCGAGAACTTCTATATCGCCGCCTACCAACCAATTTCCCGATTCGTAAATCATCTTTACATACGGGTGACCTAAGTTGTTAGTACCAAATTGCCATCCACATCTTTCTTCTTTCCTGTGAAAATAAAATTCTGGCCTACGTAATATTGCAAGAGCCTTATTCTTGTGTTTCAATGTAAAAGCCGAAAGTCCATCCAAACGGTCCTTATCCTCTGTACATATCGCAAGAACTATCGGAACGGATTGACTGATTTCCTTGTCACCTTGAAGGAGACATTTTAAATGTTGAGTCTAAAAATATTGTTTCAGTATTTTATGCTTATAATAATAATAACAGAATTAATTTTCTGATAACAGGTGAACGTCGTTATTTCATGTTTTATGTTCATGCAACTCTCTTGTATATACCTGAAGATATTGATCTTCTCTCATAAAACCTGTGAGAGGTGCAGCCCAACCTTCTGCTAAAACCTGGAGCCATTGTACGTCTATCTCGCTAATTTCTAAACTCTGAAGAGTAGCGGCTTCTGTTTTGGCGGAAGATATTCGTGATTCTGGAATGAACAACTCCCGTATTGGTGATGTGGATTTTTGCAGTACCGGTATAATACACTGTTTCTCCAGAAGATCAATAACTGTCGCAGCTGATTCTTCTGGGGTACAGTTTTCAGTGGTTACCACTAAGTCAGGATTTACTGGTCTTTCGTACATCTGATCTATTCCAGTAAAACCTTTGATAGTCCCTTGACGTGCCTTTTTATATAATCCTTTTGTGTCCCTAGCTTCGCATACGATAAGAGGCGTATTGACAAATACTTCGAAAAATGGAAGATCTGACATTTTATGAATGTGTCTTGCCATTTGTCTATCTTCTTCGAACGGCGAGACAAAGCTACATAAACAAATTTGACCGCTGTCCGCAAATAATTTAGCTACCTCTGCGACCCTTCTTATATTTTCTTTTCTATCTTCTTTGCTGAAACCAAGGTTGCAGTTTAAACCACTTCTTATATTGTCTCCATCGAGTCCGTACGCAGCAATTCCATGATTAACTAAAATAGCTTCAACTTGGAAAGCTATAGAAGTTTTTCCTGCACCGGAAAGACCTGTTAACCAAACGGTACATCCGCGAAAACCTCTCACGCTGCCCACTGCTTGCCCGCGTTTTGCTCTTGATACGTGATGTGCTTGCTCCGATACATTGGTACAAGTCTAAAGAAAGCATTATTTATAACATCAAGTAGTTATCGACAATAGCTCCAACCTTGCCAATTTAATAGTCTTATAGTATTTCCAAAGAAGTATGTCACAGAGTATCATATAGCAAGGGATACTTGTTATTTAAAAGTGTAATTATTAAAACTTTTTATTATCAAAAATAGAACTAAGTCGATACAAATATATAAATTTTTCAAGGGTATCGGAGATATAAAATCGGAGAGGTTGGAGCTATTATATATAATTTTCTATAAAGCATAGGATAGACGCGTGTAATAACATTATCGTTATGATTTTTGAAAATGTTCTGTTAGTATCATGTAGGTTCATAAATGTTTTTTATTTACAAAATAGAAAAAAATATCAATACTTATAGCAACATAGTTTTAAAACATCTAGATACATCAAATAAAATGACAAAGCTTGATATTAAACTAATATACCATAATAGTCATATAAATAACGCATATTTATTTATTTATTTACAACAAAAAATCGTATTCCAAGAATATATTTCAATAATTATTTCACGATAATAATCAATAAAATATTACGCAACATCGATATTCGAAATAAAAATGGAAAAAACGTAATGTTTTATATTAAATATCATCATAACTGTAATTTAATATAAACAGTAAAACATCTGTACTCTACATGTGTGCATCCATACGAATGTTGTGCGTGAGTGTGTGTTTTCATATACTTCGAAGATACATCGTAACTTGAAATATTTAATTAAATATTATGTACACGAAATTAATAGTAAAAAGCTTAATACAACATACGCCTTGATTATACATACCGTCATTATCCGTTTATTTGGAATTTCAATATTTTCGTTTGACATAATTGTACTATATTTCGCTTTGTATATTTCTATTCACTTCTGCATATGTGGCGATCGATCGAATATGATCGAAACTCTGTATATTTGCGTACTTAATCAAAGTCTAATTAAGTTCTAAACGTCAGAAAAGAAGTCCTGAGTGTTTTACAATAAGTACAGACTTTTGAACGATCGTCATTTATGAACAATATTAAAAATTACGATAAGAAAACGGTGTGTCAACAAACCTACAGTACAGTTTCGAGACAGTTGTGTGCTTGTGACAACGAAGCATGGACTAACGGTACTGCAAACCAGTTCTATGTAGATACTGGATATGTACTAGCATTTTATTAATAATCGTTATTGATCATAATGTGCGGTGGTTCTAAGTTCATATAGCTGTCATATGCGTACAATGATTTATCTCTGTATCAATTTAGAAATAATGTTTCGAAATTATTTACTTCCTCTATGAAATATGTAATCGTACATGGTTTCGTAAATTATCGTTAGATATAATAGTACGATAATAAAAATAGAACGTCTAATAAATTTTTTTCAAAATTAAATGGTTTTTTTCATTTAATACTAAACGTCTAATTTAAGTCATTCATTTATGCTTTCGAATGTTTAAATATTAATATTTCATTGTGAGTGCTAGGAATGATAAATATATAATTTTTCTGTAAACTATGTGTGCATAAATTTATACAATTACAAATTCATTATTTATAGAAATATTTCATTAAAAGTTTCATTAGCGTTACCCACGGTTTTGTTGTATTACAACAGGAACTGGTGAGATAAATAAGTAGTATGTGTTAATGTAATTTTATGCAGAAGAATAATTTATTTTCTGTTATTAATGAAATATTAAACACTTATTGTTAATACTTTGTTGTAATGCTATACTTTCTTTTATTGGAAATCTCGTCCCTTGTATGTTCTACATACTATGTAGGTCTCTTCTTCAGTACTCGGATTATTTGGAAAATAGTATACTCGAGTATTAATGTTCATTATGTCTTTTGGATTGTACATCATAGTTATAGAGTACATAGGATCTCCGATAGATCCAAATATATCATCTATATAGCCCAATAATTTATATTTTGTTCCACAAATTTCAGGATTTGTGCAATTCAAAAACAGTGGTGTGCCAAAGTACAAAAGATAGTCAGGAGAAATTGGTTTTACCAATACTATGTTAAGCGTTTGAATTATATTAATTATATTTCCAGCAAGATGTTCATCTTTTTCTTCGTTATACTTTATGTTACTTTGTATTTGCAATTTTTTAAACAATTTAGTTACCCTGGAAAATAAAGTGCATATATTTAAAAATATACATTGCATATTCGCGAGAAATCATCTGAAATCAGAATTGTAAATATCTCTGTTACACTTTTAATTGAAATACAACAAATTTAAGATGAAAATGTTTGATTCTAATGAAAATATAGTACAACAAAAATTTCTTTCATTAAAATTACAGTATTCATCTTCTAATTCTTAGAAAATTAAATTTTCCAATTATATTAAAAGCTAAAATAACTTACTGGTTTATTGATGTGAAATTATTTCTACTTTTTGATGGTGATATAAAATCCGATGTGGTTGAAACACATGGTTTAGAAGAACAAGTAACACTTTCTTTTTCAGAATAATCTTTAATGTTGTGTAATAGTTTTAACGGTGAAATTTCGTTTGAATTTTTATTTAATATATTATTTTGGTATTTAGATTCCATTATTTCATTTATAGATAAAAGTGTTTAATACAAATACGCTTATCGCAAAAATTAAAAGTATACTTGGTGTACATAGAAATTCCACTTTCGTTTTAAGCCACTTTGGAAGGTTATAAAGCAAAAGTAAACAAACGCAAAAAATGTCCTACAACATAAATATCGCATACTACTTGAAATTACTGGTGTACTTATTCAATACATTGAATTATTTAAGTATATCCTAACGAATATAAAAAAGCCACGGTTTGACCCATGGTGAACACAGCCTTATATATTTCTTTATACTTGTATTTATACATAGATATGTACATATAATACACGCAAGTCTTCAACAAAATTTAATTCCTCGTTCGAATCAAGTTTCAGTCATGTTATTATCATTTGTATGTTTGATGTCTTTGTATTTCTGTTTGTTATTCCTTGCATCCCACAATCCATTTCTAACAAATTTTTGCGCAGCATCTTTATTTATACGTGGCATAAGAGTGTTTCTGTCTTCAATTTGTTTTGCGCGTGTCATAGACTTCTTCAAACGATCATTTTCTGATTTTATTCTGTGCTTTGTTGGATCGATTCCTAATCAACAGTTAAATCGAGTTAGTGAGTACTTTGGTAATAATTTAAATGATAATCAAGTTGAAGTTCAAAAAATACAATATTTTATGTAATTTAAAAGCACTATGAAAATTCTTCACTTTGTACCTTCTACACGTAAATACATCCAAAACAAACTGTTTATACTATAAGATATCAATAGATCGTGTTTAACTTTATCAGCGTTAGAAAGTTTCTCGTATAAATCTGGATCTGTAGCAAGTTTGATCGTCTCTTCGATTTTCAATGTTGCATCTCGAAATTGCTTCACTTTCGCAATAAGCTCTGTGTCGTGGGAAAGTTCTTCGAAGTCAGCATCCATGTTTCCTAAGAAATTATATTTGAATTTATTACTATTATAATTATATTGAATTATATTTGAATTATATTTGAAAAATTAAATTCTAAAACTAAACCTCTTTAAACCACTATTTCGCAATTTATAATTCAGACGAAATTACAGTTTTTACAGTTATTAGAAACAATTGCGGTTTTTAAGTTTATTTGATTATTTACAATCAGCATATCGTACCAATTCAATTTTCGTTTGTTAAGAGGTTATTGGAGGTTATTATGTACGCTCTTCTCTTTGTCAACAATGTATTTACGGGAAAACTAGCCAGGGCCGGCCGTCTCTATAAAAGGGCCCGGGTGCAAGAAACCATTTGGGCTCCTAAATTTCATGTAAAGTAAAAAAAGAAAATACAAACACGGCCTACTTTCCGCCAGCATACTCGCGCTCTGATTGGTCGGGGTTTTCCGTTAATATCTCCTCAACTAAACCTCAGACATTTTCACTAAGGAAAAAAGTGTTTCGAATCACTCTCCGAACCACCCTTTTCAAGGACTTCCAACAATTATGGGACACCCTGTATAGTGAAAGGGAAATTCGGGAAACGCTCTAGGGAGTCGCATTGCCGAAATCCGTTTGACCACGTTTGACATCTTCTTCTCGAATAACTCGTGGACAAGCAAACAGCTGATTCGTTCTTAGGTAGAGCACATGTGCGGCAGTTTGATGTGATATTACGGCTATTTCTCGCGAAGTAATGAAGTTTTAACGAAGAAGCACATACACGTGTCTTGAAAAAAATATATATCGCACGATTTTATTCGAGGGTGCGATGAAAAAGAAAGAATAGTAAGGTTTTTTTTAAAGAAATTCCTGTCTAAGAAAAATGGCTGACCGTGATAGCGCATCTGAAAGTGACTCGAGCTCGATCGACGGAGGACCGATAATGATGCCGCCGTCTCCTGTAACCAGAGAACAACTTCAGAAAAGAATCGAGTCGTTGCAACAGCACAATCGCGTTCTTAAAGTCGAGCTGGAAACGTACAAATTGAGGGTGAAGGCGTTGCAAGAAGAGAACCGTGGTCTTCGTCAGGCCTCTGTCATTATAGTAAGTTGCTTATGTATTTTTTACTAACTGGAACCATCGTATATCGGCATATTAACAGATCGTATACGTACATTCCCATAAGGTATTTCAACGTTTTAATATCGGTTACAGTTTTAATTGAATCAGAAAAAGAAACTATTATTCCTAGTAAAGGCTACTTTGACATTAAACTATCTTCCACTTTTTATTATAGTGCCTCACTGATTTTTGTGGTTCCCTTCAAATTCATTATTTCCTGATCACATTTTTAACTTCCCCGTAAATATTAAGGTTCATTATAATATAATAGCCATGTATAACATATCAATGATTATGTACAATATGAAACTGTGAAATATAATAAACATTATTTCTGCATTTACATAAAGGGTATCATGTTCAATCATAAAAACTTGATAAAAAGACAATAGAAATTTGTTTAAACAATTATTATATATATATATATATGCTTTCTTATAGACAATTTGGATGAAAATTATGTAAGCTTAGTTGATGCTTGAAGAGGGCACTCAGTTGATGTTGAAGACTGATTTAACATCAGTCCTAATATTTTCACTGTATCTGCAATATTTGTTGTAGGCTCTTTAACACGATCTTCTACTCTTGAAAATCATCTGTGCTTCTCTGAAAACATACCTTACAAAACATTAGTTGATTTCTTGTTGATCCCTTGCCTTTAGACAAATATACACTAATTGTATGTGCCTTAAACATAGAGCAATAATTAAAGTATGTCGTAAATTGGGATATCACCTATATGTATAATATTGCTCAACACAAAAAATACATTCACAATGTTTTAAATATCTTAGTACATTCATTCAGAATGTTTTAAACCATCTATTTAGTTTGTAGAATTTGTAGATATAAAACAATGTGGTTATTCATGTTAATGTAATATTCGGTTTAAGATGTTATTATATTTAAATAATAAATTCTTTTTAATAATATTTAAAAATGTTGAGTACCTAACACATTATAATTATGTCGTATTCTAGCAAGCTAAAGCCGAGCAAGAAGAAGAATTTATAAGTAATACGTTATTGAAGAAAATTCAAGCGCTCAAGAAAGAGAAAGAAACGCTAGCGCATCATTACGAACAAGAGGAGGAGTGTTTAACGAACGACCTGTCGAGAAAATTGAACCAATTGCGTCAAGAAAAATGTCGCCTGGAACAAACTTTAGAACAGGAACAGGAATGTCTTGTTAATAAATTAATGAGAAAGATAGAAAAACTCGAGGCCGAAACTCTCGCGAAACAAAGTAATTTAGAGCAACTACGTAGAGAAAAGGTCGAACTTGAAAATACGCTCGAGCAAGAACAAGAAGCATTAGTAAATAAATTATGGAAACGAATGGATAAATTGGAGGCAGAGAAAAGAATGCTTCAAATAAAATTAGACCAACCCGTGTCCGATCCCACCTCGCCGAGAGAAATTAATAACGGTGATACTGCTACTAGTTTAAGTACACATATTCAAACTTTAAGAAGCGAAGTAGCCACGCTAAGACATACATTGCTCATCTCTCAACAAGAACGTAAGAATTTCTATTGTACGATAATATAGATGCGCGAGTATACAAAAGTCTTTAATATATTTATGTGTTATCCACATCAGACACGGAGAAGACACAGCGATACGTGAACGAGGAGAAACAAATTCGTGAAGAAAATTTGAGACTTCAGAGAAAGTTACAGTTAGAAGTAGAACGTCGCGAGGCTTTATGCAGACATCTTTCAGAATCGGAATCTAGGTAAATAACTATAGTATATAAACTATGAAACTATTTCAGTTTGACTTCAAGTTTGATCTATTTGTTAGTTTGGAAATGGAAGAAGAACGGCACTATAATGAAATTGTGATGTCTGGTGGAAATATAAGAAATCGTACTGTTTCCAGCCCTGTGCCGTACAATCCTTCGCCTAGTTCCTCTAGACCGCTAAGTCCAGGTAATTATTCTTGTGTTTTATTTCCCTGTAATTTATTATCATTATTTTTTTCTTTGATGTATTGTTTTCTTCTTCGTAAGCTTTTTACTTTTTGTAAATGCATATTAATAGTCATTGAAGATAATACTTATTTACAGGATCGTCAACAAGAGAGGGATTTAACACGAATCGATGTTACGCTTGTGGTCAGCCTACTCCAATTCCGTTTGCAAGTTCATCACCTCCTTCTGCGGTAAGTCGTGTGTCGTTGTATCTGTAAGTTTCACGTTTTATGTATTATATTATTCTGCATTATTTAAACAGGGCCATGTGATAACACCATCCAATAGACGCACATCGGACAGATTTGTCAAACCTGCGATTCCGCCAACTATTGTAAGTTCAGGGGGTCCACCGATCGCTAACACGGCTACAAATGCAACTAGCGGATCACCAATGGATATTGCTAAAACATAAGTCAGTTGAATTTCTCTAATTACAAATATTTCGTCATGTATTCATATAAAGTACTTCTTTGGTTGATGCATTTGTACTATGTGATTGTATAACATAACGAGAATTATTTTAAAGAAAAATACCTAACTTTCTAATATTTTAATTGCTTCACATTCATAGTACAGTGCGTATACATTAATTAAAAAAGTATCCGTAAAAATAAATATACTATAAATTGATCTTTACTTTGTATCGAGTCGCTTAGACATTTCTGATAGTAACACGATGCAAAACAGTATTTATAATAAAAACTAAATAATCGTTTATAAAATTCTAAGCAGCTTCAAAATAGCCTAACAATAAAAAAAATTGACGGGAGAAGGAGATTTCAATAAACCTGCTCTTCTAATTTCTTTTGCATTTTATTCTTACATATTATAAACTAGTACGGTTTTTTCTGGTATTTAACGTAGTGTGAGAAAGAAAGTATATTTTTTAATTTAAATATCTAGGTGGTAAGAAAAAATATTTCAATAATAATTATTCTATGATAGTAATTTATTTAAATTCTTTTCATTTTAATATCAATGTTTGTAACGAAATTAGAAGAGCGAGAAAATATTAAACACGTAACCAATTAACTTTAAAAAAAAAAAGTATGCTATTAAAAGTAAAATGAAACTATCAACAAAAAGAACAGAAACTGTAGAATATCGATATTATCAATGTTTTGCAAAATATTTATTGTTTCAATATTTTGTATGCTATTGGTTTCATTTTGTATACAATCACATAACTTGACTTATTTTATTTTATGTATAAGCATTTGTATGTTATGTACGAGTTCAACATAACTAACATTGAAGTTAACGTAAACATGACATTGTTGCATTTATATGCTGATATACTGAACATTTAGAAAGATAATTACATTACTAATATTTGTAACAAAAATTTTCTTATTTTCAAATATTTCAAACGTAACATCACTGTATTAACAGTGATTACAGGTGTCAACTATATGACTTCTGTTCATAAATAATATCTATTTAATTTGGAATATTAAACGTGTCACTATATTATGTGTACAATGATTGTTTAATTTTAAAAGGAAGTCTATATTATCGATTTTTGACATTGTTTCATCTAAAAATTAAACAAACACATTTCGCTTTTCAGTCACAGCATTACCTGCTATTTTGTAACATGTCATGTATAAAATATGTTTGGTTGATATTTATATGAATGTGATAAAGTAAATCATAACAATTTTATGTTATACCTTATAATAATTTCAACATTATTATTCGTTATTGGTGCTCAAATTTATTCGAATCTTCAGATTTTTCAATATATTATTAAAAGTGTGTTATATGGATACTATTTTTGTCCTTTGTCCAGTATTGGAAAGAGGTTGATAGTTCAGTTTTTCGGTTTCAAACGAAATTAATTTAATTTTCGTGTCATAGAATTTCCTATAATACAATTAATACATGTAATATTTGGGTATCATATGTGTCGCAATATCAAATTATAATGCCGTTAACAAAAAGGCAAACAATGTAACAGAAAAGCTAAATTAAACAATAAAATGAATATTTATCTAATGTAATTAAATTAACAGACAAAATTATCAATTCCTTTTAAGCTTTCTAAAATAGATGTTCCATGAATACTCTACGCGTGGATAAAACGTTGTTTGCTACGTTATATAGGAAAAATATAGATGTATCAATTGTCATATATAAAAAGGTTTTGTTAAAACATAAAATTATTATTACTTATCGATAATTATATGCAGATATATATTTCACTATTATGTATTATGTATTTTACTCAAGCTTTTACGAAATACAGTCACTTTTTTGCTATTATATCCATCAAATTTATTGTTACCCTTATAAAAAACGATATAAAATTCTAACTACTGCTATATGTACAGCAAGTATTATAACAGTTATTTGATTTTTGTATTTGGAAAAAGGTAGTTTATATACATTTTTCAAGATATTTCCATTCGTCTAGCGATACCTATGCCTTGGAAATCTTTTAAAGAAGTTTCACTTTGTTGATTATGTACATCTTAATATTAATAATCAGTATTATGTTATATCAATTTTTCTGCACATGGATACAACTAATCTAGCAATTACAAGCCAAACAATTAAAGAAATTGAATCTTCTTGAGAACATGGCCAACTTAGGAAATTTTGTATCGGCCAAAGCATACCCTTTGGAAAAATGATCACTGGTTTATTTTTGTAGAGATAAGATAAAATTAATTCAAACAAACCCTGAAACATTTACAATTATTGAATCGTTGTTATGACAACAATTACTTAAAAAGTAATAAACAAAAAAAATACATACGTTTAATATACGAAACCCATAAGTTATGAACAGTTGTATCTTCATTCTGGAAGATAATCGCTTATATGCTAAAAATTAAATATCACACAGAGATGAATCATTTTGGTGGATGCTAAATTTGCTACAAGATAAACAAATTTTCTATATCATATAACTGTTTTACCTGTTTCTTTTAAAATGCCTTCTATTTTATTACATTTACGTTGAAGTTTTGCATATTTTGCAAATTCATCGACTATAGATATCCCGAGCATTTCGTGCTTTAGGTTAACCAAATCATCCCGCAATTCCATGTCATGCTTCGTTATTGTATATAGGCGAGACGTAACCTAAAACAGATAGAAATCAAATAAAATTAAAAATAACAAGACTGATACTGTATGATATGAATACTCTGATACTCACATATTTGATTAAAATTGGAACAATGTATTCTAAAAAACAACTTATAGTTGATACGATAAATAAATTCATTTTACGGTGTCCGATAAAGTAAAGTTCATATCTCGCAATTTTTATATACAATATCACTCGAAAAATACTCCAATGTTAACAGAAGAAATCATTTAGAGGTTAGAATATACAAAATCATTTACATCAATTTTGCCGCATATGAAAACTTTTATAACAATTGGCTAACATATTTATATTAGGAAATTTGATATTTATACGATTATGGAGATGCGAAACTCTTATCGAAACTAGTGTACGAATTATTTTGCGAAAAACTTGGACGGTTAACCGAGAGATAACGCCACGTTCGATTTTCTTAATTATTTAGAGAACTTGATATCAATTAATTATTAGTGTACAAATCAACAATTAGAAGTTGAATTATGATAATTACGATGTAAAATTGTATGAATATAGAGAAAAAAGTAAAACTTGAATATATGTGAAAAATTAGATGGCCATACCTTCGCGCGTCCTGGCGTTCGTGCTTTTATATATAATAAAATATAAATGCAATGAATGTTATGAATAATAAACTACAATTGTTAACAATTATGGTACTGATCATTCCTCTGGGGCAATGATGCAAGGCTGGTTGGTTAGCATAATCTTTTGATAAGGTCGACTAAAAAAAAAAAATGTTAAACAACTCAGCAACCTTACATTTACAAAATATGACCTTTTATCAGTTACATTACATTTCTTCTATTCAAATTTACGTTTACCTCTATTATTTATATATAACTTTATTAACACAAGCAATTCTCTTTACATGTGCTTTGATCATACCAATTGCATACTTTAGATTCCGAAGCTAATAGTATCTAGGCACGAATAAAAATCACTGCAAAATATTAAGTAAATGATGCAAAACACGTATCTTCATGCGTCCCATAACCGTACGTTAAATGTTTATTTTATTACATATTTATAGAAATACGTTCTAATTTATATATATAGGTTATTAAAATTAATCTATGTATAATTCTAAATCTGGATCAATTTCCGTAACAGTACTCTTCAATTCTATAATATTACAAACAGGATTTTCTCTCAAATCAAGGGACTTCAATTTGTGTCTTGTTAGTAATTGTGATATTTCCTCCAAATCTTTCAGTTTATTATTTCTCAATGACAAAACCTCGAGATTTTGTAGTGTAGGAAATTTCTGCAGACTTTCCAACTGATTACTCGACAATGATAATTTTGTACAGTTTTGCAGAAAAGACAACTGATGCATAGAGTTTGATAAAAAGTTTGCACCAAGATTTATTTCTTCAAAAAAACTAAGATATTCATTATTACTCAATGTTGTTAGATTTAATCCTGAAAGATCAATTTCTGATTTTATTTCCTGATCTCCTTCCATGTTCCATAAACTGTGCAATTTGTACTCGATAACATATTTACTTTCTGAAAAAAAAATTGTCATCATTCGATTTTCATAATAACGAGAATAAATAGCTACGCTGTTAATTATACTTACGTAAATCTCTATAATAATTAGACCGAAGAGGATCGATATTAAGAAGAACATTCAAACTCGACAAAATATCATCGTGAAATTTTACGAAATCGATTTTTCTCATCAAATGTACACCAGTAAGAAGAGCCCATTTATTATCAGGTTCCAGTTCTGCGAGCTGCTTATAATTCATTAATTGTTCCATCAACTGGTCTTCGTTACAACAAGATTTATATTTCTTTTTTTTATAAATCCACTTTTGATTAAAATAGTGTAAAGGGTAACGGTGTCCGTTGATATCGATCTGGACTTCCTTTATTTCGTTGAATTGCTTTTCGAATTTTCCAAACCACAATTTAGAAAATTTTGTTTTTTGCCAAGATTTCCACGAAACATTCTCATTTTCATTGTTTATTCGCAAACATAACGATTCTATCGATACATTTTGGTTGATAAAAAGAATCACATTATTGTCGTTCAATAAAGCTTGAGAAAGAGAGGGAGATAATTCTTGAGTACTTAATAACCATCTTTGATAAAACCAGGCACTAGTATCGTTAGGGTCTGTAAATGTGGCGTTCATTACCAATTCCAGTTCTAAAAAAAAAAGAACAACAGTATAGACAACAGTACCTTTCATTGTGTATTATAAAATTAATTGAAAACAAACTTAACATTTTTGTATAATAGTCGGTATGTAATAACAACATTACCATCTTTCTTTTTCTCATCAATATTCTGTTGCGTGTAATCGTTAAATATTTTTGATAAGAGTTGACTCCTGTAATGCCAGGAAGAATAATTAGAAAAATTATTTAGAATCTTTGAGGTAGAAAATTTAAATTCTTCTTCAGGAGAAATTTCTGCTTTTTGTACGACAAATGCTCTATGATTCCAGCAATGAACTAAAACAAAACAAAAAAAAATATACATTACTACTTTGGACATTAAAACCAAAAACATTAGTAATATCAATGACTTACAGTTCCTTTCATCGAAATCCAAGTACTTAGCACACAACATTAATTCTCTTTTCCAGTTAGGTTCATCCATACGATCCATGATCCATATTCTTTGATGCCATGCAGAATACGATTTAGGATTTAGTTTCAGACAGTTTTCGGTCAGCGTTAATTCACGCTGATATAATTCTTTCAAAACATCTTCGTTCCTGTTTCAGTAACATTTGTTTTACATTAAATTTTATATTTTTATGCTATACTATACTCTATCTTACTATATTTCAATATATCGTTAATGTTAGTTACCAGTCATTGTTTGTAAATGCCTCTCTGCGAATATTCCATAAAGTATAAATATCAGGATTTTCTAATAACAAACGCTCTGTAATCTTCATTAACTCGTCATCATAAATTTGATCTTTTCTCTGTAATGTTTCAAACAAAATCATTATTTTATTACACTAGCTTACAGCATTAAAATCTTCATATGATATAAAAAAAGGATTACTTTTTGAAATACCATGCTCATGTTCACTTTATACTGTGCGAGTCGTTTAGCCCTTTCTTTCTTTTTCAGTGCCTCTTGTTCCGCACTCGTTCGAACCTTTACTCTGCCGTGCTACAAATCATATGTAATTTGTTATTTGGAGTAGTAAATGCAATTACATAAAATGGAAGAAATATGTAATTACATAATTATATTTTAACAAAACTGAATCATTTTTAAATACACGATTGAAACAATTAAAATTGTTTATCTATCGTACACAAATAATATGTTTTGTTAAAATTCTAAATATATTATTTGTAAATAAAATTAATCGAAAATTCAAAGTAACATATTTATTTTTATTACCATTGTAAGTGATGTTTGTTATTCTTTAAAGAGAGAGGCCTTCTTAACCTTTAAACTGGTCGATTCTGAAACTCAGGTTTCTTATATACCGTTCCTAAGTATACTTCTCCACTTTATATATTTACGTGACTAATAAATTAATCTTAAATTAACTACTTATTCGTAATATTTACGATAAAAACATGTACATATATACACAAATGTTTCGCATTTCATACTTAAACCGTTATCAACCCACAACGTTCTCCTTCATTATTTATTTTTCTCTCAGCATCAATTAGTTACAATTACTCGCTATAAATTTCTTTTATTTATATTTTCAACTTTCTTTCAACTGATCGAAGCAGTCACCTGGCATCTCACTCATGATCTATGACACGTAAAATGTAAATCATATCATCATACATACGGTTATGCGCAAAGTGCACTGATCATTATCGTGCATATTCTTCAATTTAAAAAAACAAACAATCCCTAGACTTTTCTTTCCATTTACTACATATAAATCATAATCGCTAATTATTATACATTAATTAAAGATTTTCGTGATCTACATATCTATATATGTATATATATTCATAATTATAATAAAGATATTTTGGATTTTATTTCACCCACAAATCGTAATTTTCTATTTTACGATCTATGACAAACATTGATAAATGTTGAATGTTTCGATACTGTGCTGATAATATTAGTTAAAAGCTATTAAATTTGTTTAATAACGCATTTATAAACATGAATGAAACATTCTGAAACTTTTCGACGTAAACGCTTGAACATAACCTCATATAACCTTTCGACAAATTTCGAACTGTTATGTCACTAAAGTGTTATGCTTACAAAAATATTTGTATAACAACAACACGTTCTCTAACGTGATTAATTTATTTCAAAGTGTGCATGCAATAGTCAACAAGTCTTTACGATGTCTGTACTAATCAAATTATCGAAATTGCCAAAAAATTTCAAATCTTTCAATAATGTTTTTCAAATGTGCCCAAGACGAAATGAAAGTTTTTCGTCGGCTACTCGGCAGTCCTCGACAACAAAAACAATATTTAAGACAAGTTTATTGGGGATTTCTGTCGGAGTCCTTGTTACAGCAGGTTACTCGTGGTATTCGGATATACAGAAATCGAAAACTTATCATCTCGATGGAAAGGAATATAAAATCAAAGTGCTAAAAGAAAAACCATCGGTACCAGTTTCAAGACAGGTTTGCCGAATTCATTTATAATTTTATAATAGGATACAACGACTGTAAAAAGGAATAATTCAAATTCGTTAAACATAAAACTATAGAATTTTAATAATGTAATACGTTTTAAATCAGAAAGGTGTTTTATCGTATAACACGGTTGATTTAATAATTTATTCTTATTTTAGATAATTTCTCCAACCGATTCGAGTGGATTAAAGCTGACCCTTTTTCAATATCAAACATGCCCCTTCTGTTGCAAGGTAAAGTATCTGTAATTAGTAGATTTGATAAAATAAAATTGATAAATAAAATATTCTAGGTCAGAGTTTTCTTGGATTACTATGGTCTATCTTACGATGTTGTGGAAGTAGATCCGGTATTACGTAAAGAGATATCATGGTCATCTTACAAAAAAGTACCAATACTTTTAACACAAGTAGAATCTGGCTATCAACCTCTAAACGATAGTTCAATGATCATATCGTTAATAGCATCACATTTGAAAGACAAATCGCAAAAAGTTAACGAGTTAGTAGAATATTATCCGTATATAGCGATGCACGATGAAAAGAGCAAATTAAAACATGAAATTATGAACAAATATTTTTTAATGTATAAAGACATGTCGCCAGAAAATAAGAACCTGGATGACATCATGTAAGTTATCGCAATATTTATTATTTGTCTCTGGTTCCTTAAATTGAATTGCATTGAAAATGCTGAGAAAGAAAAAGTAACAAAATCTAATTAAATTTATTGTTGCAGAAACGAACGTAAATGGAGAAAGTGGGCGGACGATGAACTTGTCCATACACTCTCGCCGAATGTATACAGAACACTCGACGAAGCTTATAATACTTTCAACTGGTTTTCAGAAGTAAGTATTTACCAGAATTAAGTTTAATAACATTACGTGAGTTGTAAAGGTTTTGCTAGTATAAAACTGGTCTTCGAGCATTTTAAGAATTAGAATGATAATTTCTTTGTCGATCAGGTTGGCAGATGGGAAGAATATTTTCCGACATGGGAACGATTAATAATGATAAATGTGGGCGCTATAGCTATGTGGATGATATCGAAACGTCTAAAACGGAGACACGATCTAAAAGATGATGTGCGCCAATCGCTCTACGACGAAGTTAACAAATGGTTACGTGCCATTAACAAACGCGGTGGTAAATTTATGGGAGGCGAGAAGCCCAATTTATCAGATCTTGCTGTTTATGGAATTCTGAAAAGTATAGAAGGCTGTAATGCCTTTAAAGATGTTTTAAGTAACACAAAGCTCGAAACATGGTATAATGCTATGATGAAAGAAGTGGATGCACATTCTGGAAGCAAATACCTGGCTAATTGAACAATGTAAATATCAATTAATTTCTTTGAAATCAGTTAGTATTACTTAACTTATTTTCATTGAGATTATTACGTTTAAATGAATTGAATTTGCAATTATCGAATGTTATTCTTAACTTTTTAAACCGAAGTTTAAAGAAAAAAATAATTTATTATACTTCTGTAAAAAACTAGATATACAGCTGCATTTCACATTTTACATTTATATAATACGTAGTATTCGTGAATATAAGTCAAACAAGAATAAAAGGAATATAAAAAATTATGTTTGTGTTTTGAATATTATCAAGGGTAATGCGAAAAAGATTATAAAAATCTTACGATTTGCACTAATATAATGTAAATATTGTTAAATAATAAGGATAAAAAAAACTGGGTAATACAAAGCAGAGCGCAACAATCTTTTGAAAAGTGGTAAATGATCATTTTTACTTGGAATTTTATTGATTAATCATTATCGTATGGAACATAAATTACACATGCATCTAAAATACTGAACAAGGTGTTTGCCGGTACGTCAGCGAGAATCCTTTATTTTCAATTTCTCCTATTTCATCTCCATTTGTAACAACGTACATCACAAATGGTTTTGAAAATGCTAAAATAAGAAAACGTATGTACATAGTTAAAGATTCTTATTATCTTCTTGAAAATGAAATATTAACAATAATTTCAGAATAAAGTTTGGTTACACCTTAAAATGTACTTACACGTTTTTGTTACGAAACCATTACCACAGAATCGTTCTACACCAACTGGAATGCCATTTTGAAATGGATGTGGGATGATAACAAAATCTTTGGTACAATTTGTTCCTGCTTCTGCTGCGAATTCAGTACCTAGTTATCAGTTAGTAGTGTTATCATTAATTGTCACAAATAACCGACTAAGCATTGTATTTAATGTAATTTTTTAAATTACGTGTAATACGTGGTCATAAAAGTTACATTAGAGTTACACAAGACTTCGTTATGTAATATTTATTATTTAATCGTTTTACCTATTATAGTAGAGTCAAAAGAGCCTGTATCACCAGATACAGAAAATGAACTTGGAGTTGTTTGTGACCATTCAATGCCGCAATATCCTTGAGCCATTCTTACGCAAACACCATAATTTGTGTTTGCCATTTGACGAGTACCATATGTTGGCGCTACAACATTTATAATGAATTTCGTTATTTCTAAGTTTTTTTTTATATTTACATTAATGACAGATAATTAAAATTAATTTTGTAATTTAATTTACCTCTTGGATTTTGTGTTGTACCGTAATTGAAACTTGTCACAGTATCTGAAACGCTAGTGAAATATTGTAAACATCCATTTGGAGCTGCAACAAAGATATAAGAAATGTGAGCATTTAATAAAAGGACATTATACAATAATTTATGTACCTCTATAGGTAGCATCGCAAGGTATTTGTTGAATTCTTATATTCCAACGACGTTCTGTAGAGTACTCGGAATTGGTATCGATTGATAACATAATTGGTGATCCACCATTAAAGTCTATGTAAACTGAAAAATGTAATAATACGTTAAATAATTTGAACAAATTTATTTTAAAAGTGGCGAACATTATAACATTTCGTTAAGAACATTATAACGTTCTTATTACCGTGTTGGTTTGCATTTTCTCCACAAATTCGAGGTACCGATGTCGATGATCCGGAAGCTAGGAAGAGATCGAAATCGCAAACTCCACTGGCGTTTGGCGAGGCAAGATTAAATTCCAAAAAATCCAAACGTAACTAGAACAAAAGGTTTAACGAGATTTCAACAGGTTTTGCTCTCTTGAGTTATAACTTTCTGTATGTAATAATAATAATATTAAATACACACCTGACATATGTTCGAATTACACCGATTAACTGTTATCGTACACCGTCCTGTTCCGTCGTAAGTCGTTGGATATTCAGGGTTTGTAAAATATGTATTATTTACATTTGTAGTAGATCCGCATGTCTTTTGAACTGCAACACGTTAATTATAAATTAGTCATAATATCTTATTTTTTTTCAATGCGAGTAATAAAAAAAGTTATCGTTTTATTACTTGAAATTTTTGAGAAACCCAGTTGTTCGTTTACTTACAAACACAGCAAATGCCATGTCCACTTGCACAAGTACCAGATGCTGTTCCACCGTAATCACGACATTCTCTTCTAGTAAAACAAGTGCCGTTTAAGTTATTGCTAGCCAGGCATTGTGAATTTGCAAAACGGACAACACTGAATAGCGGGAAAACTGTTTGAAAATACTTTTAATAATTTCATTATAAAGTATATCATTGTTTGTTTAGCTCTTAAGTGGTATTTTCAAAGACATAATAATTACATTACTTGCTTTTATTATACGTATACTTCATTTTCCCATTTTATTTGTTAATACTTCAAATACAACGTTATTAATTTTTTTGTTTAAAAAGTACTCACATCTTGGCTTCATGTTTAAATGTTGGATTTCCATGGCATTACTATTAATCGATTGGACGGTTTGACAGAAGGCGGTGCTTCCAAAAAGGAGAATCACTAGAGAGACTATGCACAACATCTTTTGAATTGCAACTGTTTGAAACAAGCTCGCTTCTTCTGACGGCTTTCGTTTAACGGTACTGAAGGAATCAGAACAATTAGCATGTATACAAAAGCCAGCATACGATTTGCTCATGTTTACATAACTGTATTATCAATACCTAACACGGAATAAGTTCAGTTAATAAGATATAATTTTATTATAACTTTTATGGATATGTACAATGAATACGTACATTGCTAATATGTAGTTCATATATTTGTCTTCATTGTACAGTTATATACAACAATAATATTACCCTCCTTCAGATTAAAATAATTATTACTCGATTAATGTATATTATATATATATAATTTTTATATGTACAACAATTTATTACAATACAAACAAAATTTAATTAATATCTATCTCTAATTAAAAGAATAATTTTAATCGGAAGATTTATTTAACGTTCTACAAAATGGACAGTGCCCGTATCGCAATAAAGCCAGTTCATAGTCATCCAAATGAAATAGCTGAAAACAATGATGGAAAATTATTATCATTCCTACAAAGTATGCTATTATTATGTTGCTATACAAGAAGCAAATGAGAATTTTATAAATTCTAAAGAGACAAACTGTAAATATGTATATCATGTACCATTTATTTATTAGAAAGGGTGAAATATTTTTCGTACCTTTAGACAAGATTTACAGAAAGTAATTTGTAGATCAGGTAAAAGATTTTTAAAATATCTCGTTTTAAATGGTTTTGGCCACTTTACGATTAATACAGTACACGGATCCATGCTCTTCAAAACACTTCTTCCCACAATTATAGTAGAAGTACTCGATTTTTCCTAGAACAACGCAATTAGTGAGTTGGAATTAAACAAAAAAATTGTATAATAAATATCGCGATGTATGAAAAATATATCGTATACCTCGTATTTCATTAAACGTGCAGTAAACATATCTACTTCGGAAGTAATGGTAAGCTGATCATTATCCGTCATACTGTCAGGTAATGATAACGATTCATTTATTAACTTTTCTGCTTCTTCATCCGAAATATCTTCCTCCAAATCAAATTCGACTAATGGCAGGATTTCTGAAATTATTTATTTTGAAATTAATTTTTTGAAGGGATCCGTACGCGCAATTAAATAAAACTTACCAAACATTATAAAGGAATATTGAAATTTTAATCGACATTGCACGCAATGCCCTTGTTGATTATCTAGCGACAAGAGAGGATTAAAAGTTGAACACTTATAACAAAGTGGCATAAGTTCCTCGGGATCTCTGTAAGGGGAAGCTCGAGCTATCAAGTTTGAAGTTTCCAATTGACCAAGTTGACTTGCTGGAATTCTTGTTTTACGTAATTTCTCGAGTAATTGCATCGTCAATTTATTAGCACCAAGAAGGGAAGCTTGTTTTAACAAAGTATACATTATAATAAACCTCGAGACTCCTTCTATTTGCATATTATGAGTTTTCGTTAAAAGAAATCGCGAAATGTTGAAGAGCGCCTCTGGCATTAGCGACGTGAACGGCTCTTCCTAAAAAGTTATTATTGTTCTTATTGTAATTACAATTATAATTTGTTAAAAGAAGGTAATATATTAAAATTAAATTAAAGTAAAATAATATTTTATCAAGGTTTCCACTTACAACGTATTTGTGGACTTCGTGATAAGCATAATATATATCAGCCTTCTCGTAATACTGAGAAAACATTATTTGTAATTCGTCGGTGCTTCTGTTAAGGTTTAAACTAATTTGAGAAAGTAGCCAATAAAAATAGGAGGCATCGCGAAATCTTTTCTCGGTAACAGCATTTTTTGCCAACATTGTCAGTACCATTATAGATTCTTCTGATTGTCCAGCTATCTGAAACGCTAAAGACGAATGGCCAATTTATGAACAAATTAAACGGAAGAAATTTTGTTTAGTTACAAATGTGCACAAAGTGTGCTCACCTTCTTGCGCTTCGGAAAAATGGCCAGTCTCTGCTAACCATCTAGCATACGGTCCATATATCCTTGCTTTCAGTTTGGGATTTCTTTCAGCTAATTCAAAAGCCTCAGGCCAAGCTTGAGCATCCACTAAAACATCTGCTACATCAGGATCATCTCCCAAACGACCAAAAATTTCAGCTGCCCCATGGGTTGCACCTAATTTCTTTAACTTCTTAGCGATTACAGTTAGATTGTCTCTGTCTGATTTATCGAGTTGTCTGCCCACTTTTATTAACATATCGATCCAACCATACTCTGCAATTATGTTAATGGCACGATCTACATCGCCCGCTGAGAGAAACGTTTCCGCAGCAGCACGAGGTTCGCCGAGACTTTTGGCCCACTCTGCTCTTTTGCGAAGTAATATTGTGCGGTCCTAAATGAATGATCAAAACAAAATTCGTATCATTATTTTAGGTCTTACAATATTGATGTTATACTGTATTTCTTGTAATATCGAGGCGTAAATAAATACTTCGCTAACCTGGCTGTTTCCGCTAACAATAAATTCTTGTGCAATGTCAAACATACGCAAATCGGAATACATGGTCAACGCGTGTTGCTGTAAACCAGCTTTTTGATAAAGTTTTGCAGCTTCTTTCAATTTTCCCATAGCAGCAGCAGCGGTAGCCATGCATGCTTCTCTTCCCCATTCGCCAGATTTTAGTTTTTCTTCTACTTCGGATACAATTTCTATGTACCTTAGATTTTTAACTCTAGCAAAGGCAGAATATGCTATATTCAGTTCTAGATGTTCCAAAGCATTAGTGCCTAGAGCAAACCAATCTGAATCTGCTACCCCAAGACATGCTATATGATAAGCATGAGAAAAAAGACCAATGTCTAGGTATTGGTACATGAATAGAGATAATGGAACCTGTAAACATATGATAGTTAACTTATTAGTATACATAATATTGGTCCACTTACGACGGAATCATGAATATGGGTTTCGTTAAATTACCTCCACTATAATAATACTAGATCCATTTAAACAGTAAACCTTCGATCCATTGTGACCCACGACGAACCCAGTAAATTTTTGTCTATATTCCGTGAAGTTTCCTACTTTAATTACCAAATACTCTCCACTTGAAAAGCACATTATATCCTCGAAGCTGCTGTTAAATGCTACACTGTTTACATCTTGGAATTCTTGAAGTTTTTCCTCTGCATACAAATCGAATATATAAAGGACTCCTTGGTCGCTGACAACTGCCAGCTTTTCTTTTAACGAACTAACATCGAGACATCTTACAGAACCTTCGATTTTGGTCAAGTGTGCTGGGAAGGGATTATCTAAATATATTTTTACTATATACCCTGTGTTCAAACCTAAAAAGGGATATGGAAAAAACATTTATTAATGACTTTTTTCATAGATTGACAAGGAATGGAGATATTTAATTTTCCATGCACTGGTAACCAATCAGATGGTCTGGATGTATGAACCTTTTCACGATACAAACCTGCAATTAAACATTCTTGACCAACTGGTCCACCAACAACTTTGATATAACTTATAAATCCATCGAGTATCCATTCTCTCTCTACGATTCCATTTAAAGATAAACTTTGTAATCTTCTTTCTGTACATAATATTAAGTTGTTTGCCGTGACAACTAATAAATTACAATTCAGAGCTTGATTCAATTTTTCACATATACGATAATGCATTCCATCATTGGAATTTGTTGGTTCATAAATTATCACGCGTTCTGATAATTGAACGGCTAATCTAGACTTATATACAGCAATGCGGGAAATCTGAAATTAAAATGATAATACTAGTAACGCGTTATTTCTCGTTATCCAGTATTACTGTTAGATTAATAACAGTGCTTACCAAATCTTTACATTTGATTCGAACTTTTTCACCGGTAATCAAATTTTGTATTATTACATCGGTCATATTTTCCCTATATGCGTATCTATCTCCATACAGTCCATGTATAACGTTCCATGATAATTGTAAATATGTTATAGTACCATCCTGACAACCTAAGGCCTAAATTGCGAGGTGAAAAATAGTTTAATAAGTAATTATGTAACACACAATAAAAATTGAACTACTCGTATAAATAAGAATACATAGATTCTCACAATATGCGTAGAAGTTGGATGTACAGCACAACTCCAAACCCAAGAGGAAAATGTACCACCAACATTCATTAATTGTATTCCATCATACGTCATTAATATACATTGTTTATTACTTCCTGAAATCAAAATGTATTGACCACCTGCAAAATTACACATCCTAAGAGGAATGAAATTTAATAATCTGTCTTTTCCAATTGGTTTCCCCGCGATCGAATAGAAAGATATAGTTCCATTCCATTCCGCGATACAGAGGACGTCTGTAGAATTTTCCCTGTGAATAATTCAGAAATTCAATATCGCAATATGTCGTATATTAGTTCTGTATGTAATTAAGAACATATTACCATTGATGATTCCAAAGTAAACTCCATATTGGTACTTCGCTATGTCTATCTATACGTATCTGTTCTTCTCCATTCTAAAATTCAAAGTAATTTTAATTATATTGAATCACAGAAAAATGTTTAACTAATTATGTATGTATATTAAAGTAAAAACAAACCTTATTTCTAATGGAGACATAGCCAGTTGCCAATCCAATGGCTAAATATTGACCATCGCTTGTCCAAGCACAACAGTTCACTCTTCCTTTGGATTTATGTCTCACAACTGCTTTTTGTTCAGGAGACCAGAATGCTATGTCTGATAGAGAACAACTCAAAAGTTGATGCGATACAGGATTGAACTGCATAGCTTGAACAGCTTCATTGTGACTAACAGAAAATCATATTACAATAAATAATCCATTTCAATTAATTAAATTAAACTCCATAGTACTCTGTAGAAAAATATTTAACTTACGAATATTTGAGGATACCTTCCAGTCTTGATGTCCAAATAATGACACTTTTATCTGCACCTCCAGATGCAAATTTTTTACCATCTTTTGCATAACATACACAATAAACTATGTCCTTATGCCCTGCAAATTATAAATACAAATATGATATTCAATCCTCTAGGAGAAGATTAAACATATACTATTCGCTTTACCTTTTAACGGCTGAATCAAAGCTCCTTCAGTGGTCTCGTAAACCAAAACTTGCTGACCAGCAGCAATAACTAACTGAGTACCATCTGGATTAAAACATAAGTCGTATATACTGAAACAATGTTTAGAACCGTATTAATGAGAAGTTAATTAAATAAAATAATACAGTTAAAAAATCATTTTTAATTAAACGCTCAATCGTTGTTTTATAAAATTTGTAGTGATCAATTATAATATTGTTATTATAGAAAAAATTTGCTAAAATTACCACCAT